ATTCTCCTCTCTGGAAGCATTCAAGGCCAGGCTAGATAGGGCTTTGAGCCACCTGATCCAGTGGGAGGTGTCCTTGCCTATAACAGGGGGTTGGAGCCAGGTGATCTTAAAGGCCCTTCCAACCCAAACCATTCTATGATTCAGTGCTTTTCCTAAAGCTAAAAGAGATCTGTTTGTTGCTGCACTCTACTGAGTAAACAGAGATGAGTTTTAAGTAAGCATACAGTTCATTTCTTTATCATAAAATGTTGAATTTCAGTAGCAGAAATTTAAAGTGATATTAGAAAAGTCTCTGGTGTACCATGTGATGTTTCTGTGTCAGTCTGTGTGGCTGAAGATCATAAAATGGTTTGGGTTGGAAGAGACTTATAAGGTTAGGTAGTTCCAACCCCGCTGCTATAGGCAGGGACGCCTCCCTTTAGACCAGGCTGCTCACAGCCCCATTCACCTGGCCTTGAATGCTTCCACGGATGGGGCATCCACAGCCTCCCTGGTTTAACATAGTTAATGCTAAACCATGTCTTTAGACTTAGTAGTCTTCTTTTGATAGTGTTAAATGTTTCCTCAGGAAATGTAGGGATTTTTGTTTGTTTTGTGTTTTTTTTTCTTTTCTTTTTGGATTGATGACTATTACAGACCTTTTAAAGGAAAATTGTAAGGAACCCTTTGCAGAGTTTTTACAAGGAAGAGCTTGAATAATGAACTGTAGCTGAGATTCCATTATAGAAGGAAGAAATTGTTTCTCACTTGGATAACAACAGCATTTAATTAGCAGTGTGAACTGAAATGTAGTGGTTTTTTAAAATAAAATTCTTAGTGGTCATTTAAAGCCATTTTTTCCTCAAATGAGAAGTGTGTGTGTTAACAAGAAATCTGTCAGGCTGCTTTACAGGTTTACTGTGTCTCATCTGTGTGGTGCAGATGTGCTGTTATGTGCTGTGGGTGAGGAGAATATCCTTCAGACAGATATGTGATCTGTATTCCTTAAAACTTAATGATGCCCATAGATTGTGTTTGATGAATGAGTAAGCATATTCTGCTTTGTTCAGCTAGATTTAATTTTCCCCTTCCAAATATCTCATGCTGTGCATACCTATGTGTGTGGGAATTCAGCATTTTACCTGATTTTCTAATAAAATAGCATTGATTTCTGTGCAAATTGAATTTATTTTGGTACATATGCATCAATTTAAATGATATAGAGTCTGTTAAGTGAAAAAGATTTCTGGTTTATATATAGTATATTTAGAACTTCAACGTGTCATATATGTGTTTCTCAGAATCAGCGTATTTGTTCTGAAGATATGTGCTAGTCTCACTGTCCTTATTCATTGTTAATAGATAGGATGCTTTTCTTGTTTAAATACGTGTGCTTTGATTTTGAAATGCTGGAGGGTCAGAAGAAAGTGTGAGTACACCTGAGGCAGAGCAGTGCATGTGAAGGCTTTTCTTCCCCCCAGTGGGAAGTGTAGACAAATCACGGCTGCTCATAAGGGAAATAATTACAGCTTTCTGAAAACATACAGGAAAAGCTTCATCATCTTCTCTTACTTTAAGGAAAAATGAGATGGATGGAATTTCTATTCAGAAAATTTGGTTACTGTGTTACGTATGTAGTAATAAGTTCAACAAAGGATGATGTGGCTGTGGGAGGGTCTGTGCTGCCAGAAATAGCTTATCTGTCGAGTGTAGCAAGCTTCTGTGTGGATTATGCCTGTGCAGATTTTGAAAGGGTGCCGTCTTGCATTAGCCAGCTTTGCTTTTTCAGTGTCTTGAAAGAAGTTAATGTCTTTACGTAGACAAGAATGTTTTTTGTGTGAATGTAATAAGTTTTTGTTGCACTGATAGCTTTATCAATAAAACTTGCCTTATGAGCTCTTGAAGATGGAGAAAGAGCTCAAAGTGAGGAGAGATGCTATAATACTGGAATCAGTTAGTATACTGGAATTGTTAGTAAGTCATTGAGATACAGCTGGTGACACGTAATGGAAGAGACAGGCCCGTGCAGATTGTGGCCTTTCTTTCATGGTATCCCCCCTTTTATTTTTCTCAGAGATTAAAAAATAACTTAAACAGCACTGAAAAATATTCTAACTTGAATGCCTATCCAACAGGAGATCCTGCAGAAATGGAACTTGCCTTCTTACATTGGAGATGGAAAGCCAGACATTTGATTTTACTCATTTTTAATCACCAGTTCAGGTGTCAGTGCATTCCTTTTTGCTGTTATCTCATGGGTATTTCTCTAGCATCTCTTAACTGCTTGGATTCTTGTTCCGTGCTGTTGGTACTTGTGATAAGACTTCTCATTCCTTCAGTAGGTGGTTTTTTTTGTTTGTTTGTTCTGTTTGTTTGTTTTTTCTTTCTTTTTTTTTTTCTTCTTCTGTTGAATCACAGAATGGTCAAGATTGAAAGGGGGGCCTCAAGAATCATGAATCTCCAACTCCCTCCCACCACATACAGGGCCACCAACCTCCACATTTAATACTAGACCAGGCTACTCAGGGCCTCATCCAACCTGGCCTTAAACACCTCCAGGGACTCCAGTCTGTGTTTTGTCATCTCTATAGGAGAATCGGGAACTCGTCTACTTTGTTTGCACTGTATAGCCAAAGCATTAAAAGTGCATGAAAATGAAGAAATGGTTCGGAATTTTAAGATTCCAAAGATCTTAAGGGTCTTTTCCATGTCAAAATGAAGTGTGATTTGGGATGTTGGGTCAACGTGAAGATGTAGGATGTGGGCAAAGGTTGTTTCATGCTTGCTGTATGTATTATGATTTCTTAATTAAAGAAGGATACACTTCCCTCAATCATTGTCTCAGCAAATTTACCTTGTTTTGTTTTTGTATTCTCGTTGACGCTCCTGTCTGCAGGATTACTGCTTGCTTCCTTCTTTCCAGAACGTAGAATAACGTGTACTGACAAAAGCTGGGGAAAAAGCTCTATAGCTGTATTCTGGCCATGCTGTTTCTACAGTTCCCATACAGTACAATCAAATCACTTTAAATTTTCACTGTCAGTCAGCCTTTTTGTTTTTTTTTTTTCCTTTGAATCATCACCTGGGATATGTAAATTCAATTTGCAGGTATACATGTAGCCTATGGAAGAAATATATGAAGTGTTTACAGAGTCATAGAATCCTTGTAGTTAGAAGGGACCTTTATAGGCCATCTGGTCTAACTCCCCTGCAATGAACACGGACACCTACAGCTATATCAGGTTGCCCAGGGCCTGATCCAGCCTCACCTTGAAAGTCTCCAGGGTTAAGGCATCCACCACATCTCTGGGTAACCTGTTCCAGTGCCTCACCACCCTCACTGTAAAAGATTTTTTTTCTTATATCTAACCTAAATCTCTCCTCTTTAAGCTTGAAGCCATTTCCCCTTGTTCTATTACCACAGACTCTGCTGAAGAATCTGTTCCCTTCTTTCCTATAGCTCTCCTTTAGATACAGGAAGGTCGCTATCAGGTCATCTCTTTTCTCCAGGCCGAACAGCCCCAGCTCTCTCAGCCTGTCCTCATAGGAAAGGAGTTCCACTGCTTGGATCATTTTTGTGGCCCTCCACTGGATGTGCTCCAAAGGGTTCATGTCTCTCCTGCACTGAGGACTCCACATCTGGATGCAGTACTCCATGTGAGGCCTCACCAGTGCAGAGCAGAGGGGCAGGAGCACCTCCCTCACCCTGCTGGCCACACTTCTTTTGATGCAGCCCAGAGTTCAGTTGGCTTTCTGGGCTGCAAGGTCACATTGCTGGCTTGTGTCCAGCTTCCTATCCACCAGTACCTTCAGGTCCTTTTTGGTAGGGCTGTGCTTAATCCTTCCATGCCCAAGCTTGTATTGGTAGTGGATGTTGCCTTGACCGAGGTGCAAGACCTTGCACTTGGATTTGTTGAACCTCACGAGGTTCACCTGGGAAACTCTGCAAAGTCAAGTTTTAACTTTGCTTAAATAAATCTTAATCTCCTGGACTTTGTTTTCTGTCGTGTAAGTGAAAATAGTACTGTATTTCTGGGATGCTGTAAAACTAAATTAATACAATCAACTATATCATAAAGCTTACAGTAGACAAGTATGATTTAAAAATGCAGTCATACTTTTTATCAGGGATTCTGATTAATGAGCAATGGGATAAGCTGTGTAGATTCACAAACAGCGGAGAAGAAAAATAATATGGGATGCTGACCTTTGTCAGCACTATTTACTTATAAGTCTCATTCAAACACTTGTATGTGCATTCTGAGGCTAACCCACAGTAAAATGGGTTACCCACAAAGAAGAACTGAATTAAGGCTGCAAGGAAAACATAGGAAAGGACCCAGAGATAGGGGCAATTTATTACAACCTTACTGTGGATGTAGCAATCCCCAATACTCCAAGCAGGAGCATGTCATCAAGACTGATTAATTTTGGCCTTGGGTGTTGTTCTTGAATTATTTTAGGAACCCAGAAGCAGTTTGGTTGCATCCAGTAAAGTGATTAATTGTCTCTGCATCAGAGTTTAGCATATCAACGTAGAAAACTTAAGTGAAGATAGGGCAAAGCTGATAGTAGAATCCTAGACAATCTTTTAGCTTGTCATTCACGTAGCCCTCCAGTTTTCTGTAGCAGACACAGAGTAGCAGTACTGGGGGTGTGGAGAGTGAGAGAAGATACATGTGTAAGGTAAGGAAGTATGTGTCTATGTTGGGAGAATATCAATTCAGAGAATGTCTCCTATCCCCACATTGCAGGAGTAAATCATTTCTCTGTACTGCTACACTTCCTCAGCTATTTCACCTACCCAGGATGTTTGTACAAGTAATATTCCAAAATTCCTCAAATAAAAAAGTTAATTCTTATTCACGGAGCCAACTATACAACAGATTTGTATGTACTGTCCACACACCTGAATTTTACAGCTTAAAACAATTCTGTTTTCATGAAGCTGGAAAGCTTCCCCAAGAAACAAAATTTTTATTTTGGTATGTGCTTTAGTATAGGCTTAATATCAGTTAGCTCTTTCCTGTTACAATGCTATTTCAAAAAAGGGTGATGTAGCAAAGCTGGAACTGCCATCATATTTGTCATTCAAAACTTGAATAGTCAGACAGATGAAATGGTCAGTAGAGGGAGCAGGCACCTGGGGAGGCAGCTGGTCTTCCTGAATGCTGTGCTGCTGGCTGAGCTAGAACTTTGAACACTGCTACAGGTGCTGAAGTTACAGCAGAGGTCAGAAAGTCTGCAAGTGAGCTAATGCCCAAGAATCATTAACCAAATCCCTGCTGCTGTTCGTGGGAGCCTCAGCTGCGGCCATGTGACTTAACGTCATAGAAGATCATTACCTATCAGTGCAAACATATGGCAAAGTCTGTCCCTGTTATTACTTATCTCAGAGTGCAAGGGGGCTGTGACATTTCAAGCAAAGCCTATTGGTGTGGGAGTTTCTACGTGAGGTTTCTTAAAGAAACGCTTCCTTTTTAACCTTAGTACTGCGTGGGAAAGTGTAGCGAATGTCTTTCTCTAGAAGACCAGAAGTTTTGCATAATTCTCCTATCCCTCTATGGATGGAGAAGAAATGCTGATACAGCATTCTGATATGGCTGTGAACTTCACATTTACTTGCACTTTGGAAAGTTAGATTGTTGTTTTCTGAGATGAATTTCTCAGAAAAATATGATTTTGAAGATGACTTCAGTAGAAGTGTTTCTGCCAATGAGAGGGTTCCTTCTGGAATCTTGGTGAGTTTGACACTTATTGCTAATTATGGGTGCCTATAGCATAGTTAAAATATCTAAAAAATTAACAGTCTGTATTTACTAATACAAGGCATACTTTAATCAGGTGTTGAACAGGCTTGCCTGGCTTCTAAGTTAAAACCTATATTTAGGAGCAAACGCAGGTTTGGTTTGGTTTACTTTCTTTGTTGGCTTGCTAGCTTGTTCTTGTCAAGTAGACTTTGTGCTACAGTGCTTTTGCTTTGTGTGGTCACGTTTTTTCCACTAGCGATCAGAGTACGAATTAGTAAAACTCTTGAAAAAGACTTTCTCTGGTTAAGCAAAACTGCTACTTCATGGACATATGCAAATGTAGGTAAGATGAGATGAACTGGGGGGAAGCCAATGTGATGTGCGATTTTTTTCTTCTCTTCTACCAAATCTTTTGAAAAATAGGCAACTTCTTTACTGTTTTTATCATGTGAGCAGTTTACAGCACACGTTAGACTATCTTTTAATCCTCTAAATGTATCTCAAAATAAAGAGGATGTAATAATATCAATGTTCTTACAAGCTAAGAGCTACATTTAAGTAATTCTTTTGCCATAGTTAAAAGTCATAGAATCATAGAATGGCCTGGGTTGAAAAGGACCTCAAAGATCATCTAGTTTCAACTCCTCTGCTGTGGGCAGGGTTGCCAACCACTAGACCAGGCTGCCCAGAGCCACATCCAAAGTCATGCTCTCTAAAGCTGTATCTCACTGGAGCAATCTGACAGCTTGCCAAAGAGTAACTTGCAGTCATCTTTTCCTGTTGCTCAAGTTGGCATTTGTACTGTTCAGTATTGGTACACTGTGTTAAAGGTGTCACCTTTGTGAACGTGCACCAAAAAACCCCTAACAGTTTGCTTTTACTGGAGCGATATTCTCAGTGCAGAGGAAACACAAATTTATGGACAATTTTTGCATTATCTATCACGTGTTTTCTATGTGAGCATTTCTGAACAACGTAAAATAAATTGTTCAAGAAGACTTGTTGGTTTTGTTGCAGCCAAAGTCTACTTGACAAGAACAAGCTAGCATTTTTTTTTAATGGAACATGTATGGTAGTTCCTTTCTACAAAGCCTCCCTCTCTAGCTCTGCTAACGTATGCATTCCCTGGTTTGTGAATTCTTAAAATTCAGCCAGCTACTGTGTAGACTATTTAAATACTTAACAAATACTTAACTTGAGATATAGTCCGATCATTTTTGACAGCCATTCTGTTTCTCATTCCTGTAGCCTGAGGAATTCAACCAACATACTCAGGGTGAACTTAACAGCTTTGGCTATTTTTTTTCAAGTGGAGGAGACAGGTTTTTATTTAGCTCTTGAACTTCCAAAGTAGCTATTTCCTTTGTATTTACTTTTGTGTCCTCCCTTCCTCCTCCTGCCCACCCACAGTTTCAGTTTCTGACTTCTGCTGCACGAAGGCTGCTTGCCGGAAGTTAAACATACAACAGAAAAAACACTTTTATACTGTAGAACAGTGTATTTTAGATCCCTTCCTCCATTCCAACTAGCATTCATTTCACTTGTGGCTGAGGATATTAATACTATTACAAATTCTTTCTTGCCAACTAGGTAGTATTGCTTAATTATTCAAAAATAATCTCTCTGGAGCTCCAAAAGTCACAACTTCAACCTTTATACGGAGTTCTGGAGTTTGGCTGCATCAAATAATTGACTGGCTATCAAAACAAATAAAAGCTGAACAGTATTGTGGCATGTTGCTGTGTTGTTCTTTTTTTACATGTCTTGTCCATCGAACATGTCTTGAATTGCAGAACTGATGCTTGAAAGTTGTTGTTACTGAAAGGATAGCAAGTGGCTTATGATGGAAGGTGCTTGTAAGCCTTGTTTTAAAGGAAGTGTCTCTCTGGGTATCATTTGGATCATTACCATTCCAAAGCTATTGAAGTATCGGCACTTCTGAGGCATGCAGAACATCTGTTTTTTTCCAGCGGTTCCACCAGAAAACTGAGAAATTAGTTTCTTTTCATTATGGTGACAACAACATCTGAGCTGCTCTTTGTAACAAGAGAAGAAAGAGAAGTGCCATAGAAGATACAGCTACAAGCTGATAAACAAGAGTATAAAATAGTACCTAGAATTTTATTTGCTGACTATATATAAAGCAATGCTTGTTTGAACGCTTCTTTACAAAGAAAGAAGCCTTTTATAAGCCATTGCTTTTAGTACACAGTAGGTTCAGAAGTTCATAACTTTGTCACATGTAAGTGGTAATTCTGTTTGTGTGTTTAAAAAAATATGTTGTGCTGTGAGCTATGTAAATATAACTGAGATTCTGGAAGAAATAACTTTCCTCACCGGAAGGCAAGAAGATATGTACACTAGGCAAATGATTTTAATCTTACAGCTCTGGGGGGTGATTTTCTGTTGTTAGGAGAGGTCAGATACATGGCTGTGAGGGAAAACCAGAGTATCTACCAACTGAACTGTTCCTGATGTTTGGTGTGAAATTCTCATCTTTAAAGTAGTCACTGCTTAAGTGAGAGAATTCCTTACTTCTCATTAAATTTGAGTCCCATTCCCTGAAATGTAGTATATGAAATGGATGCTGTATTAAAGGTGTCTATTCTTGATTTTGGCATCTTAAAATCTTTGTTTTTCATGAAAGTCAGTACCATAGAGACCCCTCGTGCTGCTATGGGCCTCACACTTCTGTGGTTTTTGCCATGCAGAGCAGGCTTACTTGCGATTGAAACAAGGAGGTGAGAACTGGATATCTTCTTGCCAGCTGCTTGAGGTAAAAGGGAGCTTATTAAGAGGGGAAAGTAAGGAAAGATTGAAGCTTCCCCTCTTTGGTAAGTGAGCTGCTATGTTGTGAGCAAGCAGTCAGGTTTGTCGTTGCACATAGAAGTACTTGTAAAGGAAGCAATTTTATTAATCTAATATTGTTGGTAAGGAATCCATTCTGCTAATTTTATTAGCCACTCACTGACAATCTCTTCTTGTCTTCACCAACCACATTGTACAGAAGCTACGGGAGAAAATCCTCTAGCATGTTACCTAGCGTAGTCACTCTGTGGCTAATTCAGAAATTTTTTTAAAGTTGGGATTGTCAAGCTGTCATCTTTCATTTTAAGTCTTGTGGAGAGGAATTTGCTTGTTCTTTATCTATTTTTATTAGCCTATGAACAAGGTTTCAAATAGCATTTAAGGCTAGATTTAAGATATTTTCTTAATGCCTCTAAACAAAACTGTATTGTGCAAAAGTTTTTTCTCCCATTACTGCCACTGTTGTCTAAGCAATTCATCGGTTACTTCAGTTCTGAGCCTTCCAAGCCTTCTTTACTGTAGCACAGGGTGTATTACGTTCATTCAAATGGGTCTTACATCTGTGGCATCTAACAGTACCAGTGTAACTACAAGCATACAAGAAATCTAAAATTACTTTTAAGGACAGTGCAAATGTAGGAGAATTTTTCCCCATTCCATGCTCCTCAAGCCTACCAGATATCAGCTAGTCATATTTAAATTTGAAAAATAAATCATCTCCACATGACTTGATAAGGAAGACTAGGGCTTGGCAGTTTTGGTTTTAAAATGTTTTGGTGGTCAAAATGAGGAAGGATTGCGCTTAGGTTTACATTAGAATGCTTTCATGATCTTTCTGCCTCATTCTATTAAAACTGGGATCTTCTCAGAAGTCTTTGGGCTTCATTTCTTTTTGACTGATGTAGTTCACCTTGTATTCTTAGTCTGAAAGGTTTACAGTCATTCAAAAGATCACTAAATATTTTTAATGGATAATGGTATCCAGTAATGTCTTTCCAGTTCAACTGTATCAAGGTTGTCTTATGTTCATCTTCCTTTTTTTCTATTCTGTCCTAAACTCCCCACTCTCATTTAGCAAGGCTTTCTTTACCTAGATTAGAATTGTTCTTTTCACTCTCACGATGTCAGGAGAACAACCAACTACAAAATCTGTAAAAGCCATCTTTTCTCTTAGCTGAAATTTCATGAAACCTCTGGGAAGTAGTTACTGTCATAATACTTCGCCCTTAAAATAAGTTATTGCATGAGTATGTAAACTTGATTAGGGCTTCTTATAAGTGAAAATATATTTAGCATTTAATGTCTATTCTTTGGATGTGATTTCTATAGAAATAATGGTCATTAACTGGTAGGTCAGTGCTTGCTTCTTATGGATGAAAGAAGTGAACAAGGTCATTCTACTTGGTTCATCATGTTTTCTCAGAGCAAACTACTTCAGCAGCTGTTTTAAATAAGGATACTTCCAAATTTCATTAAGCTTTTTGGAGAAGTATGTGTTGTAGCTACAGGTGACACCTACTGAAATTTTATTTAATCAAAAGCTAATGGAAGAATCTTAGTAATTTTGATTCTCTGGTATCATCTACCATGGGTAGAAGTCTTTCCTGAGCCACTTTCAAATTCTGAAGGTTGATGGCACTGTTGTTCAAAAAAGTTTTTATGTGCCCGTAACTTATGTTGAAAAGGCTTCTAGTGCTTGTTTCATGACAAAATAAATTCACTGTTAAATAAATTCACTATTAAGGACTTTATAACTGCAGAGACTGGTTGTAATATGAGAATTGGCTCAAAATCCTGTTGGCTTCAAAGTATTTGTGTAAATCTTGTTATGTTAAGCAGAGTAATCGTTAAGTGATGTAACCCATGCCTTTTGATTAAAATTAAAAGAAAGAAATGAAACATTTTTTGTTTTCTTAATTATTTCCCCCCTTCCCCTCTTCTTCCCATCAGTTTCAGACTATGAACTACGTAGGACAACTTGCAGGACAAGTCCTGGTTACTGTGAAGGAACTGTACAAAGGCATTAATCAGGCCACCCTTTCAGGATGCATTGATGTCATTGTGGTCCGGCAGCAGGATGGTACATACCAGTGTTCTCCTTTTCATGTCCGATTTGGGAAGCTTGGTGTCTTGCGCTCTAAAGAAAAAGTGGTAAGTTCAGAAAGTGGACCAAAACAAAGTTTGGAATACCAATGCATTCCCTTTTTTCCTCTGTTCTTTCTTTTCTCAACCCCCTGCATATCCCATTAGCAGTCTGGTTAAGTACAGAGCAGTTTCTCATATATGCTGTACGGACTGTGAGTTTTGGAATGCAAAGCAGAACTTCCTGTGGTAATCTAAGGACTCTGCAGGGAGGAAAAAAAAAAAGAAAAAAAAAAACTTTGACAGTTTTTGAATTATTAAAAACGGTTAATACAAGCATATATATTTCAGTCTTAAAATATTTATATGACTATTTATTTATCTATGCAAGTTCACAAGGAAATAAACGCTTAATAACCTTTAACTGATCCCTGATATTGAAGGAACTGCTTTTGGAATGTCTGGGGGACAAATAGAGTTCAAGATAAATGCTGATGACCTATCATAAATATTACTCCTTTTGCTACCTCTGTTTAATATTGATATGCAGTAGGAGATACAGTTAATAATATCCACAAGCAAATAAAAATTGGGAATGAAACTTGATTCATTTGTGGGCTCATTTGGAAGAGAACCTGGTACAATTCCCAACCCAATAGCCTGAGACAATGGTGCTACCAAGGTGGATCATCCTGCCATTCCCTTTGCATAGACTTTAGTAGTTATGTGCTTAAGGAATCAGTTGGATTGAAATTTGATCTAAAATGAACTGACTGTGGGGGGAATTTACATCCCTGTAAGGGATGTACTGCAGAAGGAAGTACTGCATATGGCAGTATTGCCTGTGGGTGTGCTATTGAAGGATTGATTGATTTAAACAGATCATAACACTTCAGGATTATATGCTGTTTTTCTAAGAAAGACAACAGCATGAAGAAACTACCCCCATCTTTATATTTTTCTTGTAAAAGGAGAAGAAAATCCTGCTAAAAAAAACACTTATGTTTTGGGCTTTTTTTTTTTTTTTTTGGTTGCTGATGGTCATACTAGGAGTTGTATGCATTAAGGTTGTGAGTTTGTCACAACAAAGCCTATCAGCAGTTTTCCTGAATGATTCCTTTGTTTTGCTTCCCACTTGCTAGTATTTTCTGAATGAGCACAATGTTGACAAAAAGTTGAATTTTTTTTCTTAACAGTTCTGCAACAAATCATGTAATTGAGTATATTTTCAGCAAGGTACAAGAGTAGTTTATCATCACCTGTGATTGATATTCTTTGGCTTGTGGTTTTATTCACATAAAAAGCTGAATTTGAATACAAGGATAATTTCTCTTTTTTTTTTTAGCAATGTAGTGTGTTTTATTTTTTAATTATTCTTGGCTTTCCATGTGCTAATGTTAGAAGTAGTTCTCCTTCCTATTTGGCCATTTCACGTCGCGGTACTGTCACTATGAATGTGTGTTTTCATATCATATTAGCTATGGCTTGAAGAGTAATTTTTGCTCTTGCATTGGCAGGAAACTGGATCTTGAGTAATGTACATACTGAATGTCCCATAGCAATTGCAATATTTCACTTGATCTCATTTTGACCAAAGTGTCTAAACTATATATAAACTTGAAATGCCAGTGGCATTTTCTACCTTGAGGCAAGTCCATCATGTTTTTATCTGACAAATGTTAGATTTTGCATTATCTAGGCTTAATGCATGTAGACAGATACCATTACTTAAGTAAATTTACTGAAAAATAAAGTTATCTGAACTTTAAACATTCTGTTTAGAAAAATTTGGAATGGATCTTAACTGGATGTCCAATATTTCATTAGGAACAGGAATTAAAATAGTTATATTTTGGGTTTTTTTTTTCTGAAGTACACTGTTTTTTCTATATTTCATATGCATAGGGGAGAGTAATCTCTATTCTGTGCAATGAATGTAAGTTAAAGAACCTGTTTATGAGCTTAGAAATATTTTCCCTTTGCAAAAGCAAAAGGTTGTTGCAGAAGGTTTGTTGGTGCCATGTCATATCCCCATAAACTCATGAGAAGGAAAATCTTAGCCAATGTCTGAGTTGCAAAAGAATTGTGGGAAATGTCTGTCCTATTGAAATATAGGTTGAACATTACTTGTGAAAACAAAACCTGCTTTCAGGAGGCTTCCACCTTGTCATCTTTACCTTTTGCTCTTTGAGACTCTGATTTGTATGAGACTCCAATTCATGTTGACCTTTAAGCAGATAAACATGAATAGTCTCAGTCATTCAGCGTTCTTCTAGGAAAGAAAGACTAAGTCAATGGTTTATGGTTCTACAGCTCTAAATTAGGTGAGCAGTGTTTTACCATCAGATGTTTTCCACGTTTCTCCACTTTTTTCTTGTAGCTTTTAGGATCTCTACTAACAGCCTGGTGTGTTTTGAGTTAACAAGATAAAGATCATTGTAACAAATTTCTTTCAAAAAGTGAAGGGGGGAGAAAGAATGATGATCATACAATGGAATAAAGTTTATCAGAGATTAGCAAGAATTTAGGTCAGTGCTTTCACCTGTGATGAATTGATCACATTAAATTATCTTTTCACAGATTGATATAGAAATTAATGGCGATGCTGTTGATCTTCATATGAAACTGGGTGACAATGGAGAAGCATTCTTTGTACAAGAGACTGAAGAGGAAAATGTAAGGGATTTGTGCTTCGTGATGGCTATAATACTGTGTTAAGAGTGCTGTGTTAAAAACGCTTGATATAGTACTGTCAGTATTACTACTTCTGAAAGCCTCACTTTCTGACTGAATCTTGCATCACTTTCAAATGCTGCTAAGGTGCTTGGTATTTTGTAGAATTATGTTACCAGTGATTTTAAAAGTAATTCTTTATTAATAGACCATTCTTTGAAGGAATGTTTTTACTTTTAGTATACAAATTCTTGGTAACTGCAGTTATACAGATTGCAGTGCCTTATTTTTTGACATACATTCTCATAGCTTGTGTTAGTGACCTTTGTGCTAATGAAGGTTGATTATTTTGGCATATATTTTTCTTACACTTTTTAGCACAGTTTTTCATAATTTATGGAACTGTCACCAATTAATAATAGCTTCTTTGACTTGAAGTCCATGTTGTATTGGAATATAGTAATTAATGTCCTAAGACCTTTTCCAATGGGAAAATAACAAACCTTTGGGGGGGGGGGGGGGGAGAGAAAGGGATGAATTTTAGCGTAATTCCTAAGGATGTGTAATTGCAGAATTTTTCAGTCATACATATTGGTACACTTTTGGATGTTTGCATTTTTTTTCAGCAAGATAAAGGGATAGGAATTTTAAATATAAAAATGTAGAAGATTTAAAGAAAATGGAAGAAAAGGCCTATCTTAGTGAAGTGAAAGGTGAAGCTGTAAATTTGCTGTCAGGAATCAGTGTCTTTCAAGGAAATGAACTTGATCCACTTACTGGTTTATGACACTCCTTGTTTACTGCATGGGAAGGAGAGGAAGCACTCATTTTGAAAAGGGTTAAATATTACTTAAAGTGGAAGGAGTAAATAAGCATTTAGACTAGTGCACTAAATGTTAAGTTAGGGCAGGAAGTCATAATATTTATGGGAAAGAAAACTTGAGTTCTGTTTCAGCATGCACCGTGAGTAAGATCAAAACAGAAAGCAGTTCTTCTAGCTGCTGTTGTCTTAGCTGTTGATGAGAATAGATCAGTCTTAAGATTCTTTTCAGAAAGCAAGAATGGTAACCACTATCTGTGCACTTTCTTTATCCTCCCCTTTTGCCCCACTTCATATTTATTATTTCTCATTGTGTTTCTCTTGGTGTAGGTCTTGATATATTTTATTTTCTTGTTACGATGTAAATAAACCTGGTGGTTGATTCATAAAGATTTCTCTTCATCTGGATTGTTTCTTCAATGGGCAGTCAGTTTTAACTAACAGAGTTGGTGCTGGTTTTGTTTTGATGTGTAGGTGATACATTTTTTTCCTGAGTAAATCATAGAACGGCCTGGATTGGAAGGTACTTCAAAGATCACCTAATTCTAAGCCCCTCTTTACATGATCTCTAGATGTCCCTTCCAACCTACACCTTTCTGTGAATCTGTTTCAAAATAAATAGACAGCAGTGGGCTTAATTAGCCTAGTTTTGTTAATTCATCTACTATGGATAGAACCATGTGCTCCAAAGAAAGACTTTAAATACCATTCCATTGACTGAAAATCTATCTATTTCTTTTTTTATTTAGGAAAAAGTTCCTGCATATTTGGCCACATCTCCAATACCTACTGAAGACCAGTTTTTTAAAGACACTGACAATCATTTGATACCAGGTGAAAGTGAGAGGACATGCACAAACTCAGAAATTCCACATGCTATGGAAACAGAGACTGTATTCACCCCAGGATCAGTGAAAAAGAAAAAAAGAAGAAGAAAGAAATACAAACAAGATATCAGGAAAGAAGATCAAATTTCTTCTACTGGGACAGAAGAGATTTTTGAAATGGAAATAAGCTCAGATGATGAGAAAAGTGTTCAGCCCCTAAGGTAAACTATTATGTATTGGCTAACTGCTGTTACTGGATATTGTTGGGCTCGTACTTTTTTTTTCTACACAAGTAATCCATAACTTTCAATAGGCATTAGGTAGATTTTTCTTTAAACAAAATACAAAATCATGATCTTCTATATCCTTACAGAATCATTCAGGTTTGTCAGTTTCAATATAAATATGAGATCCACTTAAGCCCATTCTTGTAAATCATAGAATCGTAGAAAGGCCTGGGTTGAAAAGAACCACAATGATCATCTAGTTTTGACCCCCCTGCTGTGTGCAGGGTCACCAACCAGCAGACCAAGCTGCCCAGAGCCACATCCAGCCTGGCCTTGAATGCCTCCAGGGATGGGGCATCCACAGCCTCCTTGGGCAACCTGTTCCAGTGCCTCACCAACCTTTGTGTGAAAAACTTCCTCCTAATATCTAACCTAAACCTCCCCTGTCTCAGTTTAAAATCATTCCCCCTTGTCCTATCACTATCCACCCTTGTAAACAGCCATTCTCCCTCCTGTTTATATGCTCCCTTCAAGTACTGGAAGGCCATAATGAGATCTCCCTGGACCCTTCTCTTCTCCAGGCTAAACAAGACCAGTTCCCTCAACCTTTATCAATAGGAGAGGTGCTCCAGCCCTCTGATCATCTTAATGGCCCTCCTCTGGACCTGTTTCAAGAGCTCTGCAACTTTCTTTGGCTGGAGGCCCCAGGCCTGGACGCAGTACTCCAGATGGGGCTTCACAAGAGCTGAGTATGGGAGAACAATCACCTCTCTCTCCCTGCTGGCCATTCCTGTTTTAATGCAGCCTGGGATATAGTTGGCCTTCCAGGCTGCAAGCATGCACTGCTTGTAGAAGAAGAAACATGTGAAGAAGTATTGTCCTTGTCTTGCTTTTGGCTAGCAATTAAAAAGTTCCAGTGTAACTTTTCTGAGGTAGATTGGTGCAGTAGGGTGTTTGGAAACATCTACACAAACTGCAGTGCGGAGTGTTTGTAGTACACCACATCTGAACTGGATTCTCTTGTAACTTTAAGTTTATTTTAGTAACTGAAAACTACAGAAATGCATGATCCTTCGCTTTAATAAAGAGAACCCTTTACATACATGTAGTTAAAGCAAGGAATCGGTCCTGTATTTTCTAATGGATACTATTAGTAAATTGGAGCTTGTAGTAAATTTGTCATGCATACTAAGAAACTGAAGGAGCTTGCCTGAGTAATAGGAATGATCATAGTAATAGATGAAAACTATCAAGCATTTAAATACATAAACTCCAGGAAAAACCCGATCACCAGTTTTCCATGGAAGTTTCTTAAGCCATTGAATGAAAGAAGCAGAGTTGATTTTTAGACAAAGCTTACTAGTTTATTAACAGCTTTAATGCTTAATATACTGTCTGAGTAAATTCAATATCTGATCTGGAAAATAGAAGAATGATCTGCTTTAGGAGAATGAACTGAAAAACCTTCCCTTTAGTGTGTGTATGGGGACTGTTAGGACACAGCATAGATCTGTGTTCAGTCTTCAGTGCAAGAGCACTGAGACAACAATATCTGGATCACATGAGTGGCAATCCTGCCCTTGGCAGGGGGTTTGGAACTGGATGGTCTTAAAGGTCACTTCCAACCCTAGGATTTCTGTGATATGACTGTCACAGTGAAAAAACATCAAAAATCAAAATAACCATCAAGTACAGGAAAAAAGTGAATATAACCTGTGAATGATTTATTCTTCATTTAATAAACTGTTGCAAATGAGCAAAGCATTTAGGAATAACATACCAGTAGTGGCTATTTGCAAGAAGTGTTTAGAATTCAAATTGATATTCTAGCAATTACTATAATTTTACTAGAGATGAATAAAAAGTTGTAGGTTTGGCTGAAATGTCCAGTTTAATCATAGCTGATGAGTAACAGCATTTCCAAAGTGGTTTTCCTGATTTTATTTTTGTAACCTGTGGAATGGAGAAACAGGCTTTTTATTTGTTTATTTTTAAATAAATAAAAACATCAGTAGAAGTTCATTCTCAGAGTAGAGAGTTGTGATGTGAAAGGAAGTTTTTCTTAAAAGAATGCTGTTATGTGAGTGACAGTTATTTGGAGGACTGAACAATTAAATTGTAGCAGCACAAGCCCAGAGATGCTAAGGTAAGTTCATGGCTATGTGTTTGTTAGTGGAGTTCACATACAGTCACAGGAATTGAAATGCATATGCCTATGGCAAGGCTGTTAACTTCCCAGATGAAGGTGCAGCTGTGGGGGGAAAAAAAATAAATGTAAAGGTGATATCAGCAGGTTTTAAGTGATTATTATTATTATTATTACTATTATTATAAAGACCCTGTTTTGGAGAAAAAAAAATTAATACAGAAATAGAACCTTAGTTGTTACTAGACATTATGGTGGATTTTGGAGTGAAACCAAGAAAGGAAAAGGGAAGAGTGGTGCTCTGACAGGAAGGTCAAAAATTCAGCCACAGATACTAGTACATCATGTCTTATCTAGTTCTTTTCTTACAGTCTGAAAGACAAGCTGTTTCCTGTTTCTTGGGAAAATCCAAAATCTGTTTCCAAATGTTTATACAGCCTTTTTTAAAATATCCTTTGTCTTTTCTAGCTGTGATGGTATGTGCCACAGATTTAGCTATGCTACTAATGTTTGGCTTACCTAAAATAGTACCAGGATGACTAATATTAGTGTGTATGTTCAGAAAGGAGCAGGGGGGCATTATTTCTCAGGTGCTAATGGTATTGTGTTGTGTCTGTTCTCTCACCCTGCAAAATGGAAAGGATTTTCCATTTCAATCCGCACAATTCATCTGTGTTTTCAGAAATGCATTAACTGGACATTAACTTTCTGAAGCACTCTAATCTAATGATGTTAAATGACTTTCATTGGTTTCTTAATCTAGCCGCACAGTACATCAGTCTGAAAGAAGTTATCTGCCTCTAAAGTCTTATCTGTTTAGATAATGTATAGCATTGAAAACTGAATGAGAGGAAGTGGGAAGCTGTCTTACTGAATGTTGCAAAATAGGTGGTTCAGAATTATTGGTAAAGCCATATGTTATGAATGGGAGTGCAGTGGTCTAATATCAATTCTCCCATTTTCTTTTCAGTGGTCTTTGTGTTTGGATTTTTATTTGTTTACAATGACCTACTTATCATCTTGTTCCCCCTCCAAAGTTGAAGTACTGAGGGACATGACTATAATTATTTTCTAGTATGCTTTCTTAATTGCTTGTCAACACTTTTGCCTCTTCCAGTACTCAGCATATAGTATGAAACATTTCTATCTTACTTTTTTTCATAGTAGTGTCTTAAAATAGTTTATTTTGTGTTTTACTCTCAAATTCCAGACTCATTTTCCTTGTATTATATGTGCTGTGTAGCCATGATGCCCTTCATCTAACCTCAAGTTAGTCATATCCTAAGACTAGTTAGTTATTCAAGTGAATTCACAAGGCTTTAAAAAGATCTGAAGTAATTATGATGGAAATATTTAAGAGATTTCTGTGTAAAATACAAGGCATTTCTATTCAGTGGTTCTTGGTGTGTCTTTTGTTACAGATACTGAGTAGTGTTCCCAGTTCCAAAAAACCCTACTGTTCAGTGCAGTACATCTAGTTACTCGCTGTAGTGTGTGTTATCTGTAAACTTGTGGGTGAATCATGTAGCCAGTAGCTGCCCTTATTTTCTTAATATTTTAATTTGTGAAATAGGCAATCGTAAAATACGGTGTCAAAACTGCCTTTTCTATTTAACTTTCAGTGATTCTGTTGTTTATCTAATGAAGGGTTATGGGGTTTGGTAGTATTAGCTGTCCATAGAGAGTGATATCACTTAAAGTCTTGTGATTTCCTAGTTCAATATTAACTTATAAGATGGCAGAGGAGTAGGTTTTTTTTAAGCTGATAATATTTTCAAATATTAGTTACTATATACTTTTTAAGTTGTATGCAAGTGTGCTGCAATCAATGAATTCTCCAACCTGTACACTTCTTTCTCTTGATCTTGGATTCTTAATAACATATAGGTCACATTTCTAACTGAATTAGTAATGTGAATTTCTTATTGTTGACTCACTAAATGTCTCATTTTTTCCCAACAGAGGATCCTCAAATTCTTCACCAAAAGGTGAAGAACAAAAAGAATCTTTGATTTATCACTCGAAGGATCATTACCCATTATCTGATGGAGACTGGTCCCCTCTGGATAAGTAAGTCATATTGTAATGTCATTGTGCATATGAAGATGAATAGTTACAATAAAGTTAATGTGCCTTTTACTCAGTTTTTTTTTTTGATCTGTAAAACCATGCCTAGCTTTTGTGATGCAGAATACAGCATGTGCTACGTGTGTGGAACTTTGAGAAATTTCCCACGTACAAAACCCTATTTAAGAAGGGATTAATTTGGGTTTTTCCCATCCATAAATTCTACAGCAAAATGAACTTTTGTTATTTTCTTCCCTAAGACCACAAGAGCAAAACAGTTTTTAAATTACACTGCTCATTTTTTAGAGTGAGTTCCTTTGGCTTAAAAGTTATTAGAAGTAAATGTCAAAGAGTGTATTCTGATGCATACATAGTAACCACTGTAGGAAAATTAGGATGGAACTTTAACAAGTTAGGTAGTCTGAAAGATGTGTTGAAGTGATCTCTGAGAGGACTTGCCTCTCTGACAGTAATTTGCTAATGTTTTTTTCCCCAGCTGTAGGTGGGATTTGGTGTTACTTTGTACATTCATGAGTTAGTTCTGCAAGACTTCTGTTACTCAGGTCTTGTCCTAGCAAGTTTAAATACTAAATCGTTACGGAGCCAAGGATCTAAAAGCTGCTGTCTTACTTTTAAATTACACTTTTTTCTTCCTGTTGTGTTTATTTATTTATTTATGGCTTGTGTGTTTTTTAGCAGAAGGTGGGCTTAGGAGAGAGCTGTACCTACACTGCAGACACAGTGGAGGAATCTGTTTAGGGTGATTGCTGTGCAAGTCCTTTAATGTGATTTTGGTTTTAACCTAATTTCTGTCTGAAAACCCTGCTGGGCTTCTTGCCATGTTACAGAATAATTGAAGCTCTGTTAAGCTCTAGAAAACTCTACCAACAGTAGCTGTGAACAACAAATGCATTTTAAACACTGTAGCTTTCTTCCTTTTTTTTTTTTTTTTTTTTTTTTTTTTTTTTTTTTTTTTTTTTTTTGTTCTTTTTGATTTGCTAGCCCTTACTCTGAGCCAGTCTGCCCTAAAAGTGATTCAGAACTGGAAGTTAAACCTGCTGAGAGTTTGCTCAGATCCGAATCTCACATGGAATGGACATGGGGAGGATTCCCGGAATCAACCAAGGTATTGTTATTGTCTTGAACTTTGTATACTGAGATATGGCATATTTAACATCATGCACTACAAAAGAGTTGGAATTCTGCTGTTGTTCTGTAGAATTCTTAGCTGAAATAGGAAAGTAGCACCCTCTTGTGGCTGGTTGATAGTTGTCTTTGTTCAGTCTTTGTTGAGTGAAATAGTTATGGAAAACCTTACAGTGGCAACGTAAAAGTTTTTTTAATTTTTAGCTAGAAACTGAATAAAACAACTCTGGAAATCACTGTTCTTTATTTTAGGCTAAATTATAGCTCCTTCTAGAGGAATGGTAGCCTTAATAAATTTTTTGATTACTGAAACAACTGATGGCATTTGTCTTGACACATTGTCATACTCTTTCTTTCTTTTTTTTTTTTTTTTTCTCCTTGCCATGTTTTGTCATGTCAACACCTCCTCCAAGCCACTTTCTTTACTGAACTTGTTCAACAAGCTTGTAAAAAGCTTTTGTTGCAGACAGCTTCACTAATAGATGAAAGCTGTTTTATGTTAGGAAGTATTTCTTCTTTGAAAGAGTGGTGAGGCACTGGAATAGGCTGCCCAGGGAAGTGGTGGAATCACCATCCTGCAGTTGTTCAAGAGATATGTAGATGTGACACTTAGGAATGTGGTTTAGTGGGCATGGTGGTGATGGATTGATGTTTGGACTAGATCTTTATGATTTTTTCTTGCTAAAATAAATCTTGAAATTCTTATCAGTGTACTTGTGACCAGACTCCCCGTTTACTGGCAAAATTACCTTTGGGAACAAGTTTAATATTAAAAGCAGAGTAAAATCAGTCTGTGAATTGAAAGGATTGAGTGGAGTTTTGTCTTTCAGATAAGCAAGAAAGAGAAACTGGAACATCCCAGAACAGCTACCATTACTCCATCAGAGAAGACTCATTTTAGAGTCATCCTCAGCTCTGATGAAGTTGAAGATGATGATGTTGTGAAAGATTCTGTCTGTACAGTACTGAAACCTGAGCCAAGAACTCATCCTATGCTTAAGCAGATGGATGGTAAAGATTCTCTCGCTTCTGCAATTATAGAGCCACAAGATTCCTTACCGTTAGATTCTGACCATCATTCCAGACTGTTGGTGGACTCTTTACCAGAAACAAAGCCAACAGCAAAAGTTGACTCTCCTTCAAAAAAGAAAGGTACGTAATAGAACTGCTGATTGTTCCTTTCAGGTGATATACCAAATTTGAGGCAATAGTGGAAAAAGTACAAAATGTTCTTTTTCAGTTTTTCCTATTTAAAGTCTTAATCGTTATTAAAGTTTTAACTGTAATTAAACTTCAGCTTAAGAATGCTTTAATTCTGAATCATCCTCAGTTATGCTTGTATTTAATGTGTCTGGATAGCTTCATCTCAATAACTTGACTGTTAAAATTAACAGGGGTGCACAAGCGAAGTCATCACCAGGGCCCTGATGATATTTACTTGGAGGACCTAAAAGCTTTGGAACCTGAAGTTGCAGCACTCTACTTTCCCAAAAGGTAGCTTTGAATTAAGATTCCATGGACCTGGGCTTATTCTGCAGTTAAACTACATGAATTATTGTGTGGATGATTTAAGTGACTGTGATTCCCGGTTCTTATTAGAGAATGGAACTTGGGATTTCTAGGCTGTGGAAAAAACAGTCCTAATCTTATTCTACAACATTCTGGTAAATAGTGAGGAGCATGATATTGCTCTGTGGCAATAGAATGTTGAGGAACTCTTCTTCCTTTAAAGAGAAATTCTTCTTATAAAGAATCAATTTTGTTGCAGGCGAAAGAGAAATAAATATTTCCCAATTTAGTTAGGATATTCCAGTATAATAAAGGGTTGAAGGTGATCCTGGTGGTGTCTGATTTGTGTATTATTGGATTTATGTTGTAAAATGATGTGTGGCATTAGTAAAAAGTGAGATGGTTTATTTTTGTTTTTTTTTTTAGTAGTCATAGTGTGTGTGCATTTGTTTACGAGTTAAGTATTTATGGAAAATGTGATTCTCTTTTTTGTAGTGATTCTGATCCAGGCTTCAGACAATGGACTGAGTCAGATAATCTTTCTGGTTCCCAGTCACCCCAATCAGTAGGAAGTGCTGCTGCTGATAGTGGCACAGAGTGCATGTCTGATTCTGCTATGGACTTGCCTGATGTCACGCTCTCACTTTGTGGAGGTCTCAATGAAAACGGCGAGATTTCTAAAGGTATGTGAGAAAAGAAAACATAAGTGGTTGTAAAGCTCAGGCAGCTAAATGAAGTGCCTTGAATGCCCTGATTTTTATGAAGCCTTTGCCTTTAATTAGGCTTACATTAAGAAAAGAAGATGGAGAATTTTAGAAAACTTCATTGGCGTTTGCCAAGCAGAAATTGTGAAATTTAGCCTCAAATTAATCAAGAGCACACAGTATCTTGAGAAACTTTCTTACTCCTTTTTCATACTGCTAATTGCATCTCTAACCACTCTTATTTCTGGCTGAATTTCCTTGCTTAATCCAATGTAAGACTTCACAAGCTGTATTCTTTCCAATTGCCTGATAACTTTTCTTCTTTTCAGTGTTTTTTAAGCCTCTGGGAGGTGAATATATTGTTATCTAGTACTATCTTCTCTCCTGCTTTGCTTTTCCCTTCTTAAATGTTTGTTAACATTTACCTTTCTAACCATTTAAATTGTCTCTCTTGAAGTTCTGCTTAACTTTAAAGTTGTATACGTTTTTGAGGGAGCTTCTAGGAGCATGTAATTTCATGATTTTTAACATTAAAAAATTTTAATATTACTTATTTATTGATCATCCCATCTCATCTCAAAGCATCAAGTAAAATTTTACAAGCTTATTATTAGGGCTCAGAACAAATACACCCTCATTTCTTATTTCTCCTTCCTGTGATTGTTAAAATAAGTGGTACAAAGCTTTACGTGCTACTGAGAAGACAAGCAGCCACAAGATTCTTGACATGTAGGCCATATTAGAATAGCTTGATGATACTGCAAAGTCAGCAAAGGTTCTCAAATGACAGAAAATATTTTTCTGGGTGCAAACTAATCAGACCTTTTAGGATTTCATATTTCTAATTTTAATTTAAATTTGCTTCGATTGCAGAAAAGTTCATGGAGCATATTATTACTTATCATGAATTTGCTGAAAACCCTGGACTCATAGACAATCCTAATTTGGTAATAAGGATTTATAACAGGTAAATTATCTGTATCATACAATTAGTTCACAGAAAAGCTTATTTTAAATCTACCACGTAAAGTGAATGCACTTTTCAGCTTCCAGTGTGTTTTTGGTGGATCTGCTCCTTAGTCTTAGATAACTGTTTTTGAATTAAACTTTTGAAATAAATTTAACAAAAGTAATATTTCTTTTCAGCACTGATGCTGAATTGTGTACATTAAAGTAACTCTGCTTGTAACCAGCTTTAATATTAGTTGTTGCTTGCAAAAGGATGTATTTTCTTTGAGGAGAGAGCAGTTTGCACACTGTTTACTTCTATTCAGGTTTTGTAATAACTTCCCAACATGTTTTAAAACAGGTATTATAACTGGGCATTGGCTGCTCCAATGATTTTGAGTTTGCAAGTATTTCAGAAAAGTTTGCCTAAGGTAAATAGAGATGTTTACTTCTTTGAAGATTTTGCAGATAATAATGCATGTTTATCTTTATTCTGTTTTTCTACACAAAATTAATAACTTGCAAATTTTTTCAGGCTACCGTTGAATCTTGGGTCAAAGAAAAGATGCCAAAGAAGTCTGGAAGGTGGTGGTTCTGGCGCAAGAGAGAAAGCATGACTAAACAGGTAACTGAGACTTGATTTGATTTTTTAATTTTCCATTACTATTAAAGGATGAAAAAACTCATTTGTCAGATGTGCCTCAGAACAGTGAGCATGTAACTGTCACTGATTGTCTATTTCTGAGTATTTAGTCTCAAATACTACCATCATTTTTCACTATTCCTTCAATCATTTATTCTATTTAGCTGATGCACAGTATTCTTAAAATCCTTTCTTCTAAGTCATAGGCACTTGTCAAAGCTACTCTTCAGTCACAGCAATATATTTTAGGAATGTATACACAAATAGATAAGTAGATGCATAATAGATGTCATGCTGAGACACCCACATTTTAGACTAAAATCAACTTTCTAAACATTGGAAGTGTCTTAAAAGATATTTTTTAAAAAGTAAATTTTTAAGCTTGGAAGTTCATTGCTCCTTTTATGCTGAATTCATCAAATTAAAGAGCGATTCTGCGTCATGGTATAGCTTATATACTGCACTGATAGCTATTTGCTTATGTATGGATTATGAATTCACTTGGATTGGTTTAAAATGCTTAAAATGTCGATATGTTCTTTATTATCATATTGTTTTAGATACCAGAAGCAAAAGAGGGGAAGTCTGAGACACAAAGAGCAAATGAACTGCCAGCAACTATAAAAGAGCAAGTTAATAGTAGGTGTGTTCCTGTCTGAAGACTGTTTTGTGGACTGAATGATGATTTTTTTTGCTCTTCTCTCATTTTGGTGGTTTTCTTGTTGAGTTTTTTGTCTTTTTTGAGTGAAGAATTCATTACTGCTGTGGGAAGAAACATTTTCTTCTAAGCTACTGAAGAGAAGCCAAATATGCTTGGCAAACAACTCAGCAGAATTATATGGCATTAGACATTGTAGGAACTAGAAATACATTACAATTATTTCCTAAATCCTATTGTTTTTACTTCTCAAATCCTGATGTAACTGACAGAATAACAAAGACATATATGGTAACCTTTAGCAATGGGCCACTGCTCTGCAACTTATTAAGTATAGTAGGATTGTTTCTGAGATATTTTTTGTTATTCTTTTTTGTATAATCCCAGTGTTGTTTGAATAACTTAAAACATCTGCAGTTTTTTGTAACGTGAAATAATTGAAACAATAAAATAGCATTAATTACAGTACACAAGTTGCCCAAGATTGTAGTTGAAAACAAGCAGTATTTAGCACAAAACTGTGTCAGACTAAATAACCCACTGTGTATACTCATATTTGCCTTTGATTTTATGAAGATATTTGTAAATGTTGTTGATGTCTTAAAAATTTAAGAAACCGCATATGCTGTAAGATTCAGAGAGATTAAATGCTGCTTTTAATCTTGAAATCTCTAATTAGCAGAAAAATAAATGTCTGACTTACTTTAAAAGGTGAGCTCCTCCACTAATTTATCGCACACGGTTTAAAATATGTAGTACGTGTGGCAGCTTTTCTTGAAAACAAAGCCATTACTCACTGAATATCCCTTTCCATCTGCAGTCTGCCTTTAGTGACCACTTGACACTGTTTCTACTAAACTCTTGTGGAGCCAGCTAGACTATACACAGTAATATTTAGAGCTCCACCAATAGTAGCGTGCATTACAAGTCTTATTTGCTAATTGGCATATACTGACTTCATCTGGGCATGGGCTAGTCTTTTGACTTTGTTAATCTTTGCTATCAGGCTAGTAGTAAATCTTTGACATAAGCAGAAATTAATCTTGAATAAGAATCTTATACCATTATAGAAGGATTTTCTGCAGCTTAAATTTCTTCTTCTTGGTGTCATATTAGACCCCCAGAAGATGATTCATCTAGTGATGAAGCATCACAGGAATTGAAGGAATCCTTGAAAATAGATTCTGCTCCAGTAGAGCATCCAACTCATGGGAATGTTCCATCTTACAAGAAGTCACTTCGGCTGTCTTCCGACCAAATCGTAAGTGGCGTGCCTTCCTTGCACAGTTAATGCATCGTAGTTCTCTTGTACTCTTTGTTCTGATTCTAAAAGTTGGGCTTTCTCTGCTTTTTAGAAGCTAAGCATAGAAACATTTCACAGAATCAGGAGTGATACTGGGATTACTTTTCTAGCAGTAGGAAAAAAAAGGAAAGGGGACACTTGAAATGTGAGAGTAACAGTTGAATTTTAAAAGAAACATAAAATATTTTCCATTGCTAGTATGGGCAGCTTCTTCTTCTTCTTTTTAATTTATTATTATTTTTTTAATTAATAATCATGATTCTGGGTTTTAATTTTAAAAATAATAATTTCTTATAAAGTTCTATAAGCAAACATTTGTATTAAGATGTTTCCAAAGAAGTGGCGTTATTGCTTTCTGCGGTTTGGGTATTCTGGAATTTGAACTGCCAAATAATGTACATCAAAGATGGTGGGCAGTTTACTCATTTCAAATTAATTTACAAGTTCATTCTATTATCATCTAAATATATGGCCCTCATCAAGTAAGCATTTTGAGAAAAGCACCCACTAGGTAGAAAATAGTGTTGCGTGATCAGTTGTGTACAAACGTAGTAAGCAGATAATTTATTTATATGCTAATATATTATCAAATATACTTAGTTGTTAATACTGTAAGTATACTGTAATAACAAGAATTAAGTAACATCTTTTAATATTACTGTAGTCGGTGCTGCTGTAAGCAAATGTAGGACCTACAGAACCCAGTAAAAAAGGAGACTTAACCAGCGGAGCAATGCCAGTGTTAAACTAAACCATGGTTCACTTTTTGATGAGTCGATCAAAACAGATGAGGAGGAAACTACAAGCTTTTTTCTGTTAGCTTATTTACGATTCTAAAAATTCTGTAGTGACACTAATTTATATTTTCAATCATCTTGATTTATCCTAAAGGCAAAGTTGAAGCTCAGAGATGGCCCTAACGATGTTGTGTTTAGTATCACAACCCAGTATCAGGGGACTTGCCGTTGTGCAGGAACAATATATCTCTGGAACTGGGATGACAAAATCATCATATCAGACATTGATGGAACAATAACCAAGTAAATATTGTTTTTCCTTTCCTTTCTTTGTATTTGATACATTATTTTGCTTTATTGATGCTGTCTTACTTTTCAAAGTAAGACAAAGCAGCCTTATTTAAGATGACTACTGAAGAACTTTTTTTAACAGTTATGAGAAATGCTTGTTGCTTTGGTTTAAATTTACACTTGTGTTTATAGCAAACTAGAAAATGTCTTTAGCATTCTTGCATTATTCTTTGAAATGTTCATCATGTGACTACTGCCCTTGCAGTCAGACATGTCTAGATTTAGCAAGCATATGCTAGCGTAGGAACTGACTTGTGCTGTATGGCTGCCACTAATGCTCAGTGTGGAATACGTACTAGCTTTCAAAATGGTTAAGACCTTCTGCAGAGGTGTTTCTGTAAATACTCTTTGCAAACTGTCTTTTCATTAATTGTTGTCTTTGACAAAACTCATATGCTTAGTTTCAGCTATCTCCAATTTTGCTTTTAGGTCTGATGCTTTGGGACAGATACTCCCTCAGCTTGGCAAGGACTGGACTCATCAGGGCATTGCAAAACTCTATCATTCCATAAATGAGTGAGTATGTAGTCTATGAAGCACGTAGGCCCTTTCTGGAATTTAGGAATTAATGGGCACGTAGTTGAATTGATGTTAATAGTTTTGCATGCTGGCCTAAATGATGGAAAGTAATTACTTCTGTCAAACGCAAGCAAAGCCAGGTTGTTCTCTCAGATGTACCCTTTTACAGGAGTGGAAGCCACCAGTTCTGCTAGTTCTCTTCTCAAATTTCTGATTCTGCATTTGAGTTTTTTTTAAATCTATGTAACGTTTTTCTGACTACAAGAGTGTACTAATAGTAATAGCTTCTCAAACAGTCACGCGTATGTTTGTTTCCAGTAACTCAGGTTAATCACAAAGCCTTTACAAACGTGGCCCAGTGTGAATTCAGACCTAAACAGTGTCATCCCAACATCTAGATACTTTTTGTTTTAACATGTTTACTATCAAACTCAAGTGAACTTTCCTTAGAATTTTATTCCATGTTCTGAAACAATCCTAATTAAAAACTTAGGTGGACACAAAGGTTGGTGACCTGGATCAAGTTTTGTGTTACTCACTTTGTTGCACTTTTGACATAAACTGACACAACCCAGCAAAACAGCAATTTCCCCATCTGCTGTCTGGATTAGTCAACTGTGCACGCTCACCTTGTAATCTGCAGGACCTGCAGAGGCGGGTTATGTAACTAGAAGAGGGGAGGAGGGAGAGGGAAGATAGCTTTCTTTTTGCAGCAGTGGTGAGATGTATGCTTAGTTTAGAAGTGTGGTGAGCTGCACCCTTGTAAATGTACTGCTCTTTTAAGAGGCGTATAGCCTTGTAATATTTATGTCCAATAACTTCGTGCAAAATAAACCTACTTTGTTCCTTCTCATTTAGATTAGGTCCTTTGTTTAACAATTAAAAAATAAATAGAGATGCCAGAAATAATACTTGCTACTGAGGATCACGGGGTCAGCTGTTAAACCATTTCATAGTCCCCTTCAAATAATCAAATTTTATCTTTGCTTAGTTCTTAGTGCAAAGCTTAGTTTAAAGTTTCTTCCCTCCCCCTCACCCCCAAATAATTTTGAGGCCTTGGAAATCCTTTGTTGACTTTTGCTCTGTTTCATAGAGCTAAATTTCATCTGTGGCCCCTTGAGTCTATGGCAGAAAACTTGAACATTGTTTTGTGTTCAATGTATAATAGAAAGGTAGTTTGGAAAGTATTTGCCAAATAGAATCAGATCTCTGAAAATCTGCATAAAAAGTTGAGTCTCTTGTGTATGCTGTAATTGTTTATAAATCTGTTTAAGAGATGGCTACGAAGTCCTTGGGGAAAAAAAAAAAATGGGCCTTGATGGGTACTACTCATGCTTCCTTCACTCTGAGATGCAAATTCTAGTAACGATCTGAAAAATATCAACCAACAAGACAGGAGATCTGGTATCCAATATTATGCAATACAAATAAATAATTGTTAACATCTATATCTGGGCTGCAAGAAACTGGGAGATACCAGTGTGGCATTTGTCTAAGTGCAGTCTAGTCTATCTAGATACATAATCTTACTATTACTATTCTTGTTCTTTTTTGCACTTCTTAATTTTGACACTGCCATGTTTTTAAACTATAATATACTTTTCAGATACCATAACACTGGAACAATCTTTTCCTGGGAATTGGTGCAGCTTACCACAAGTCTGTACCTAACCTAGTGCCTCTGGACGTTGTTGCAACAGGATATTTGTGTTTACAAAGAATGTCTTCAACAGTAAAATGAACTACGTTGGTATTTCTTTTCTAGAAATGGCTACAAGTTTCTGTACTGTTCTGCTCGTGCCATTGGAATGGCGGATATGACTAGAGGATACCTACACTGGGTGAACGACAAAGGAACAATTCTTCCCAAGGGACCTCTCATGTTGTCCCCCAGCAGTTTATTTTCTGCCTTTCATAGGTAAGCATGTGGGATTTCATACATCTATTTGCTCCCCATCTCAGAGAAAGAAGCAAATTTAAAAGATTTCTGATGCTAACCTAATCATTATAGTTGTAACCAAATATTCTACTCTGTGCTAGGTTTGCTACTGAGACTTGGGTGTCCCTCTAGCAATAAGCTATTTATGTGAATTTCACTTTTGTTTCTATGGATGTGTTAGATGTGGCTGCAAAGCACAAAACCTCAGTCACACAGCATCTCATTTTTTACTTTCTTCATTCCTCAGGTCTGTAACTGATTACTGTTAAGTTCTGCTCTTAACAGTACAATTTTCTGATCTTGCAATATTAGGAGCGTTCTATACACAACTGCCTGCAGAAGAATATTTAGCTATGACTTGACTCAACCAATCTTTTGAACTGCAGTCTGCCTGTTCTTGATGAGAAGTGCTCATAAAGTAAAAGTCTTTTTGTTAGTTCTTTTTTTTTTTTTTAAATTAAAACCAAACCATTAAATTATGGCTAACAATGACAGCCATGTCCACCGTAGTCACTTGGCAGGCCTCTTTTAGTTTTTGGTCCAGATGGTCAGTTCCCAAACTGCATTCATAAGCTGTGAATTTCATTACATTTACCTAGTCTAGGTACAGTTTATTCACCTATTTCTGATGTTGGAAAACAATCTTTTATTCTTTTATTATCTCTTGCATCATCCCTGGAAAAGTATTTACCAATGTCTATGTAACCAGCCACAACAGAAACAGGAATCAATGAGAATACAATCATCAGATAAATGGGTGCAGAATACCCACTATTTGCTCATGATTTAAAGATTGATTATTCAAATTTTATTCTAGGGAAGTAATAGAAAAGAAGCCTGAAAAGTTCAAAATCGAATGTTTGAATGATATCAAGAATTTGTTTGCTCCCAGTAAACAACCTTTCTATGCTGCTTTTGGAAACAGGCCCAATGTAAGTCTGAACTTTTCTAGTTGAAGGGTTAAAATGCATGGAATACTCGGGAAGGAAAGGAAATAGGCTTTTATTGTTATGCCTATTAAAGTTTGAATATGACAACAGGACATTGGTCTTTCTCTGAGTTTGGTAGTGAAAGTCCAAATGCATACCTTAAATGAAGGCTGCCAGGACTATTTTTAGGAAAACTGCTACACAGATGTGTTAGTATTCTCAGGGTATAACACCTTTCCAAATTCTTTTTCAGCATTTTTGCATCATAACTAAGGGTATTTGATTTTTCTCAGTCTTGAATCTTTGTTTCCTATCAGTACAATTCCTGTACTTTCTCTACAGTTATTGTAACTGAGCAAGGGAGAGGGGTATTCCAAAGGGGAACAGTGTCATGAGAAGTAGCATTGTGTGATATAGATTAGATTTTGTGGTGCATATTTGTGGTCTGAGGCTTGAGAACAAGGCTTATAGGATTGAGAGAGGAGAAGTGTTTTGTTATGGTCTACTTTTGGGGAGTTTGCTTTTTTGTTTGTTTCTTTTCAGAGACAGTTTTACTGTATGCTTTTCAGTGTATCACAGAAAGAAATAACAAAGTATGTGCGTTTGTTCGCGCTTCTTGCAGGATGTATATGCCTACATGCAAGTGGGAGTACCAGACTGCAGAATATTTACTGTGAATCCAAAGGGTGAACTGATCCAAGAAAGGACTAAGGGAAACAAATCTTCGTAAGATCATTTTTATTATTTCAGTTAGAAAAGGTACTTGGGAATGAGATTACAAAATAATTGCAGTTGTGGCCATGATGATTACTTATGATCTCCTATTACATACAAGACAAATTTTTGTTTGCCAGAGAATTTAGAGCTTTGGTTACTTAACTGAAACTCCTCAAAAAGGGAAGTAAACTGGCGAAATAAAATTGAAAATTGCTCCTGAAGTAGCAGTACTTAGTAGCAGTACTTAGTACTTAGTTTTCTGGTCTAGACTTCTAAAGCTCTTTTGGCTACAGTTGAGCAGTGACTAGACTGTTAAATAATGGTTTTTCTTTTTTTTTCTTTCTTTTTTTTTTTTAATATAGGTATTACAGACTAAGTGAGCTTGTGGAACATGTGTTCCCATTGCTTAATAAAGAACAGAGTTCTGCATTTCCATGCCCAGAATTTAGCTCCTTTTGCTATTGGAGAGATCCTCTTCCTGACCTTAACATGGAAGACCTGGCCTGAAAAATACTTCTCACCTAGAAATGGAATTTCATTTTCAGCTACTCGACTTCAGTTTAAATGTGAAGAACTTTCTTAATGAAGATTCTAATTTATATACTGGTACCATAAGTCTTACTAAAGAGATCACTTTAACTCCGTTGGTGTAAGACGAAGAAAATGCAAAGCTGCTGTCCAATTTTTTGTGGGCTTTTGATTTTTTTTGTCTGTTTCTTTATTGCCTGTCTTTGTATACCTGTTCTAAGACACTTGAGATTGGTCTGTCATTGATGGCCATGGTACCCAAGAGCTTCATGGCAACTAAATGCTGAGTGACTTTGCATTTTCATCAGTCAGACCTTATTGTAGGCATAGATTTTTTTGTATTAGTCTTAATAGTATATTTTCTAAAACAAAGCCAAAAAGTATACGGAAACTGCCAAATAGAATGTCAGACCTATTAATAAAATCCATGGTCTAATGTTCAGATGGGCAATTAGACCTTTTTTGCAGAGGATCCAGAACTGAAGACAGTGTGCTCTTTCTCCACTAAAATACAGAAAATGTGTGGCCATTACTAGGCTGACAGTGTGTAGACACAAAATTCATCTTCAAATGTAAATATGCCTTCTGTCACATGTGCAACACTGTTCTTGTACAGTTTGTGCTCAAACTAACTCTGCTGCTTTTTTTTTTTTAATATGCAATGCTTAAACTATTTCATAAGCTTGTTAAAATGAAAGTTGTTGTCAGATATTAGTATGGCTTTTGTTGCTTTCAGGCTGCACTATTTCATGTTAAATGTCCATCAAGAGAAATCTCGAAAGTTTCCGTAAGAGCTGGGGAACTGGCATTTTGATTTCACTTTTCATCATGGAGGTGTGTGTGTGTGTGTGTGTATGCTACGTAGGCCAGTAAAAAGTATGTTCAGATTATATTCAGGGAATTGTTATACTAAAAAAAAAAAAGTATTTAATTTTTTTAATTACCTACTGCAGGTCTTTCCAGAATTCTGTATTGCAGATTTTCACTAGGTGGAAGGAACTGTGGCTCAATAGTGAGATTCCAGGTATAAGAATGGTTAAATGCTGCAGAGCAGAATAAAATCTTTTTTTTTTTCTTTTTTCTTTTCATTTTTTTTTCTCCTTTTGTTTTATTCATAAACATTGTGCTGGTCATTCCTCAGGTTCAGATCAGAGCCTGAGAACAAACTGCATTCCAAGTCTTGTGTTTATCAGCTGTGAAAGCGGCTAATTAATTTCTCTTTCCAAAAATACTTGAAAATAAGAGAAAAGTAGTTCTGCTTTTTAAGTTGAGCTAGTACATTTTACCTCCTTAGGATAAGTCTGTGGTGAAAATTATATGCTTCTAGCCCTTAGGGTTTAATGCCTTCAGCCATTTAAACTTCAGTCCCAAACTTTTTGTTGGTGCGGTCTTTTCTGATACTTTTTAAGCAAGAAGTTCCTGAAGCTGTGTACCAAGGATCCTGCCAGGCTTTGGAGCTGAGCTCTCACCTTTACACAACTCCCAGTGGCAAAGTGATCTTTAGAAGGTACGTGTATGGCTACTGCTGCAGTGCATACCTAGGGCTGCTTCTGAGAGAAGCGTGGCTTGGCCAGGCCCTTCTGCTCCAACTTAATTGACCTGGGTGTAGAAGAAGACCTCTGTTATGCTAAATGCTGAAGAGTACATTTAGAGAATTTTACCCCACGCACAGGAATGTTTCCTTTATCAAGCTGAGTAGTCTTAACCTAGCATTCTCATGTAACAGCAGCCTAATGCTAGACAACTGGTGAATTGCATGGGGGCAGTAATTTTCAGATTGCTATATAAATTAAATTACCTTTTATTTTCTTATAAAATTCCAGATATTCCTGTGACTATAAAGCATTAGAAAAGAAAGGGGGATGGGGATCAGGGTAAATGTGGAAGCTCTCATTCAGAATGGGATTATGAGGATGGAAAGGAAAATACACCTGTCTGTCGTGTGCCATGTGTGTTAACTGACTTGAAGGACATCCTTAAACAATGAGAACAATACATTCAGTGACTGTTTCAGCAAATTTTTGCTCCTGTCATCAATCTACTGAGTGTTTAAGTGGATTTCACAGGATTCAACTGAAAGCATATTTTGCTCTACTGCATTATTTTATTTGCACTATGTCAGAAGCTTGCAAATGTCATTCCATGTATCTTTTCCTTTCTTTTTTAAACTTTTACTCCCTAGATTTCTGTAGAAACTTACATTTTCATGATCACTAAGTGCTTTGAAAATCAACAGGATTTGAGCGTTTAAGCCACTTAAATACCTTAAGATATGTAAGAATTCACATAATATTTTAATTGCAAGTTGTAATAGTATGTGTGAAGATTCTATTTTTCATGAAGGTGATGAAACTGCTTCTGCTAAGGCAGTCCCTTGTGGAAGTCAAAATCTTACGTACCATCCCTGACTTATTCTTGGCGGCCTTGATGTTACATAGGTTTGGGGAAGGAGGAACACTGTGAGAAAAATACGATTTGTCTGCAGTGGGATTCCAAACTGTGCAGATTGTTACCAAGGCTTGGCTGTATCTTTGTTCATTTTTACTTTGGTTATTTTTTTAAATCTTAAATTCTATTCATCTTTCTTGGTTGGTAAGAAGAGAAACTGGATTTTCAGGTGGGGACTTGGATCGGCAGTGAGAATTAATGAATCAAGAGTATTTCCAAATGCATATGATTCCAGATGATATGAATATGGATGTGGCTGCAGTGAGCTCCTCATTCTGCTGACCTGTTGTTTTACAGTATAGGGATGTTCAAAAAGTTGCTTACTTAAAAATTTTGCTTTTCAATCTCTGTAATAGCTGCTCTATTTGGTTTTTGGTGATATGTAAAAGTGTTCTTGACTATTTCTGGTACAAGTAAGGTTGATTGGTTTGGTTTTTGTTTTGTTTTTAATTTGACTCATATGCAAAGCTTTGTTCAGCTTTTTCTAGCCCTCCTGAGGTACAGAATATGGGTTACTGTACCTGTCATTGCATACCTACATAGTTTGGAGTACTGGACACTTTATTGACAAGGAAGGACATCTTGTTGCTACCAAACTTAGGCTTCTACTGCAATATTAATATGAAGGGAGGAATATATAGTCTGCATTAGCCTGTCCTTTGTTACCTTAGTTGAGAGAAGTGGCCTGAAATCATGTTTGAAAACAAGTTGTGCTGTACTTAAAACTAGCACAAGTAACATATTCTTTCTATGAAAGAGGAACTTTCTAAGTGTATGTGTGTGTCAGCACATACACCTCCCTGTTAAGACTGTGTTGTTGAAGATGCAGATCCACTTAGCGTTGGAACCATCTCAAAAGCTGAGTCAGTGATACCTATCCAGGAACATATAAAGGAGCACTGCTATTCAGAACTTGTTAGTGACTTGGACATTACCCATTTCTGTGATGATTTAAAGATCAGTAACTTTTAAGTGGTTCACATTTCTGGATTAATTTATTTTTTACTGTTCAAAGCATGCTTGTGGTTCAAAAGGTTGGACTTAACCCCTGACAGTATCCAACTGCATGTGCAATATGGCTTGTGTATCCTCAGCTTCCTGTCCTTTTTTATTTTATATTTCAACTGGAAAGGTTTTAATGCTCATGTCATCTTACTTATGGAACTTCTGAAACAAACACTGAATCTGCATATGGTAGAGACAAAAATAAATGAGATTTTGTGTTAATATCCAATACAAGTCTTCCAGAAAATACTGTCATATAAATAAGAGTTGTTTAAATGGCTTTAATGTGAATTCATAATGAAATGTCAAAAATATACGATGGATTTGAGAAGCCTTTAAACTGTCACTTTTGCCTAAAGTAGTTTTAGTTTCCAGAGTTGAATCCTGTTGAATAGAATGGAATTATTTGGGATTTTTTTTTTACAGTGTTAATTATTTCCAGATGAAAGTTACATTTGGGTTTGTTTTGAGGATAGGAAAACTCTCTTTAATAGTTTGTTTCATTTTTATGGTGAAGATGTGGAATATCTGACTATTCAGGCAACCCAATCACTAATAAGGTAGTGTGTTTAAAGCTGTCAAATCTGTGACCGTACCAATAGTGGTTTTTGTTAAGACTGGACTATCTTGGGTGCAGTAACCCACACTTCAGTGCAATGCATATTGATGTTGAGAACAATGTTATCACAATAAACAAACTTAAACTCACTTTTTTCTTCAGTTTGTACTTAGGAATTCTATTTTTGTATTGCTAATTTAGTGAATGGTAGCTTATTTAAATTGCATTTATATTTACATTTAGAGTTGCTCTATTAAGGACAACGATACATTGCGCTTGGTTTACTTTTAGAGCTTTTCTACAGCTGACAAATAATTGCTGTAATCAGACTTGCATTGTCTGCCAGTACCAATATTTGCTTGTAACTATAATGAAAGTAAATGCGTTATTAATGTCAGGTAACAGATGCACTGTCATCATAGATACATCTTGGGAACACACAAGCTGCCTAGAAGAAAATCCAGCAATGTTGTAGCGTAAGCACTTGTAAACCTGCCCTAATTTGGAGTTTTATCCTAATTCTGTCCAAGCTAACTTTTTCCTTTCAAGGCAAAGTATTGTCTTCCAAGACAGCTGTTTAATTTGCTTGAGGTAATTATTGTGAGATCATCTTGGAAAAGAGATCTCAAGCTTTTGGTAGAAACTTACCCTTCCTGGCCTCTTACTGTTATGGATAAATGCAACTGACTAGCAGTCTAACAGAACATCCAACCATTTCAATCACAATTAAATGTATGACAAATCTACATCAAAGTGTAAATCACGTTGTGCCTTTTGATCCTTCTGCAGTTCAAGTCTTATCTCTTGCATTGCTGTCACCATTGCACACTAGCTTTCCTATGCCCAGACACAGCTTAGTGCTAGTTTTATCTCCTGCTCCAGTGACAGAATTTCCACTGGTATTTGGAGTGCCCTGTGATTCTGCTCCTGCACAGAAACCTCTTTGCATCTGGGTGCTTCACAACACTGCCCATCTTTCATACGTAGGTTTCAGTGTTCATGCATTGTGTGCAGTGAGCAACAATGCCACTGCAAGCAGTGCAAAGGTGGGCATCTCCTGTGTATGCCAAATGTTCAGATTTGTTGCGGAAGTATGTCTGGTCTTGTATTGTTTCTCTGTAGCTGACAGTAAGTAAGCCTGTTCTCGGTGGGTGGGTTGATCTGTCTATGAGAACGGTCTTAGACACATAGAGAATTAGAGGCCTCTGCTGTAAGCTCCTATAGAGTGCTGGGCAACTCTGTGCTTTGAGGGCCTTAGGGCTGGCAAGGAGCCTCACCAACAGCTTGCTGGAATCCCAAAGGAAGGTGGTTGCATGGTCTGCGAGGTGGCAGGCCTGGCCTCCCTGTGAGCGGGAGAGGTGGTGAGGAGAGGAGGCCACAGCAGGGTTGTGTCTGGAATTCCCTGACTGTTCCCGTGTCTTCCAGAGCCTGCATATCCAGCATGTGAGGACCCAGTGTTGTTACATACAGTCTGGTCCTTTCTTCCTTCCCAGCTGGGCTCCTGCATGTGAGTTAACCTCCACTTTTCCCACAGTCACACAATGAAGGGGTGCTGGAGGGAGCCGTATGGCCCTAACCATCTTCTGATGGGTGTGGCTGTAGTTTCCAAGAACTTGTGTGTGCAAGGGCTTGCTTTGTCATGCTGTCATTTGTTTTGTACATCAAGAGCCCTGGGGGAGGTTGTGTGTGCACCTGGGTACCATTTGGGCCAGATACAATGAACTGTGTGTTGGGATAACTGCAAGCACCACTGAGCCACCTCTTCCTGAGTGCTACAGAATCTTCACCTGTCAGGAAGTATGTCCAGAAGAGTTCTGACTGAAACATCACTTTGTGCTGTCCAAGCCCGCTTTCAGCAGCTGTCATCTGCAGGTAATGCTTAAAGAGCACAGAGATCTGAGCCTCTTCACTAATTTTTCTAATTATTTATTTCTCTCCCACCCCTTTCCTTACTATTTCTCCTTTTTCCTACCTGTCCATATTTTGTCCTGACTTCTTATAAAACTTACTCTCCCCAATCTAGTTTTGGAGATTAACTGAAATAGCTAGAAAACAGTACAGCTAAGAACTGTGTTGGCAGAACTCCTGTACTACCACAAAACCTGTACCAGTGCCTGACACTGAAGCAAATATACACATGGAAACTCAACTAAGAAACCAGAACCTGAAGTTCTAAAGGTGGTGGAGGAGAGAGCAAAAATTTCAGCTTAAGATAGTACTGCGTTCACTGGAAAGTAAAGGAGCACCAAGATCACAAAACAGGCAGGTTTTATTTGGACATGGCAGCAGTTGGTTTCCACTGAACAATTTTCTTCCCATTCCTGGGTATCAGTTTCTGTACATCTGTTTTTGTATGTATACATATATATGCACACAAAGCATACACTCAAATGAGCTACTCTTTGCTGGAAAAAAAAAAAATCAATACTTTTCTAATACAATCAAGATAGCAAAATGCATAAATGCCAAAACCTGCTTCTGTATGAACATGTTTTAAGGTGTTCTTTGGAGTCTCCCTTGTACAAAAGATTGGCAGAGCTGTTATTTCGCACCTTGTCTGAAGTCTGCAGGGTAAATTGCAGGAGGGCTGGCTTGACTGCAAATCTGCCTTGTGCTGACGATCAGCCCTGGCTGATCCTTGGTGCTGGACAGTCTGCACTCTGCGCCATTATCTCAGAGCAACTTGGAACCAAAGCCTAGCTGCTGGTCAGGGCTCAAGAAAGCAGATGTTCCTTCCATCCCCAAGCTGACAGTGTGACAGTGTTTGTGGTTTTGGTGGAACATATCCATATCCACTACCGCACGCTGTCATAAGGACTCACTTAGCAAATACAATGCTCCTGAATCATACAATAGCCAGAGTTGGAAGGGACCCATTAGGATCACTGAGTCTAACTCCTCAGGAAGAAATTTGCTCCTGATGCAAATCTCCAGCTTGTAGTGGAGGAGCCCTTTGTGTGCTCCCTGTGCCTTTGGGCCTTTTTGAGCTCTAGTGAGGACTTGCATGTACTTTGTTTCAAGTTGCCTTCCATGCCTTCTACTTACAGCTGTTCTTTGGCTGTTTGTAATGGTTCTGGAATGGCTGGTTATCCTCAGCAAGCTGATCAGATGCTCTGTCAGTAGAACTGTGCAAAACTGCTGCAAGTAATGTGGGCTACACTGAATGGCTGTAGGGTGGGATGCTGTAGAAAATCCTCATTGCTTTGAACGGTCAGTATAGTAATGTCTCCTAAGTCTTAACAGCAAATTAAATTAATGAGGTAGTTTCATATGTTTTGTGGTGAAAATTTGCCTTCTTGCTTTGCTCCAAGCTTGCCTATGATTTCCTGCAATTATTGGTTTGGCTCTCTGCTGCCTTTCCCATCTGCTCTAGGATGCAATGTGTTTGGCCAGAGCAGAGGCACGTTCTCTGGCTGTCAGCTTGCTGGTCTGTCCTGTTCTGATAGGAAACAGGAGCACAGGGGACAAGATAATTTTGCTTGATTTGCCAAAGAATCTTGCTTTAATGTTGTAATGAAGTTCTGACTGAAGGAGTAACTGGATCTCTGATCCCCCTTTCCTGTACTACAGCATCTCAATGATCCCAGCTGGGCAGATATTATGCCCTGAAAGCTTTGAGAAGATCTGAGCCACTTGCCCCGATTACGGCAATTACTGAGACAGTGGTAATTAAGGTTCATTTTTCTCAAGCAAAGCAGGAGTGTAATGTAGAGGTTCCTCATCAGCATTCATAGTTCATAGCTTTAGCTATCACTAGAGATAGTGAATGGGAAACTATCCCTAAAAGCGCTATAAGGTATTCTCAAAATACACCCCTGAGAACCACTCCTGCTGTGATATAGTTTAGAAAATTTTAGCTGCATGTGACTGGTTGTGTTGCACTGTATGGGATCACTCTCAGATCCCAAGTGCAAGGAGGAGGTTCCTGGCAAAAGACAGCGTTGTGCCACGAGGGCACTGTGCTCAGGAGAATGCGTGTGCTGGAGGTAGAAGCCTGGAGGAGCAGTTAGGTGAGAATCAGGTGATGAAACCTACAGAACTCCAGTGCTAAACTTGCACTGCTGATTCTTAAAAATTTGCCTCACTTGGAGGGGAAAAAAAATAAATGAAGAGGTGGTGTTTGCCAGCTGGGACTCCCCAGGCACTCAGCTTGTTTTGTTTGTTTCCATGAGTCATTTTTAGAACAGGCACCAAAATGCAACAATACTGAGTCACACAGAGACGGCAGCCAGCTTCTTAGAGCACACAGCTTTCTCGAGGAGAGTAGAAAATATCCTAAAAGGAAAAATGCCTCTAGCCTACAGCTTTCATACATAATGAGAAATTGATTCAGAATATATATATATACAGTTGATGTAATTGGCTTTCAGAAAGACTATAAAGAAGTCTTTCCAGTCTGTCCCTTCAATGCTGAGACCTATAAGGAGTGAGAGAGCAGTGGGCTGTTGATTTAGGACAGAAGAAAGGACACTCTTGAATGGGCACACGGTTGCTAACTGCATGCTAATGGCTCTGGCACAGGTCAGGACAACTCAGGGAAGGGAGAGGGGCTGGCTCCATTCCCCAGGCTGCCAAGTGTGCCAGGTGCCTTCAGTTGCTGCCTACAGCTGCTCCTGCACCCACAGCCTTTCTGCTGCAGAATACATCCAGCACTACCTCCTGCTCAGCAGCAAAACCCTAACTGCTGAAAATCAGGTGCCAGGAGACTTTTTTCATTCACGTGCTTTAAAAATCTGCTGGCCATTTCCTTCCTCTGCTCCTTCCTATATCTGCAAAGGCACTGACGCAGAGCTCCTGAGGGGATAGAGCTTTTTCTGTCTGCTTTTCTCAAAGGCAGCTCAACTTCCAGGATGTGATCATTTGTTGTGGGACGGTCCCATCTCATTGCCTGGAAACAGAGTTATGGGGGAGTATCTATTCCAAAACTATGCAACAAATACAAGTGTTCATCTGACCTCCTCAGATGGGAAAGGCTTCAGCTGAAGGCTTACAGCACAAGGAGTTCTCCCTTCACGTAAAGGAATTACCTGGTCTGTGCTATGAAAAGCCATTCTGGATTCATAAGAAGTATGTACTACACAAACCACTGTGATAATAAATACAGCTCTATGCAGGATGAATAGACTATGAAAAGATGATCCACTTGTATAACATATAGATGGCAGTGAATAGTTCTGCCCATATCAAAGCATGGTTAAGATTTTTTTCCAGCCACAGAGGAGCTCAAAATGTTAACTCAAGAGAGACAAAAAGCCATTTTTCTCACCTTCAGTGAGAAGTGGCTCACAGGAGAAACAAATCATTGTTGCACTGAATGGGCTTAAGCTAAGAGGGAAGTTGCTCCATCCATAGCAACTGATGCTGAATGGTGAAACAAGTAAAACAAAGCTCACTTGAAGCAGGAGGCTGCTAAAACAAAGTCACAGTGCCTCTGGTGCGTTGTTTGTACACTGGAAAGTACTGGTTAAAAAGTCTGTTTTCCCATATCATCTGCTTTTCCTCTGGCCTATCTTTTACAATGCAACAAAGAAGAAAAATACCTTCTTAATGCAAATACTGTAAGAGTTCCAGAGAGCATCACTGTCAAAAGTTTTAAAGTTCTCACCTACCCAGTAAAAAGCTGGGCCAAGGGACGTTCCTCCTTGCAGTTCTGGAATCACTCACCCCCTCTCTGAGCGCTTGGTCTTTAAAGGTGAGAAAAAAACCTGATGCAAACATCATTTTCTGCTTTGCACCACCATTGTTAGCAATTGCTTTTTGGTTTGTGAGAATGTACTGACAACATATTATTAAAGAACACAAGGACTAGGAAGTCATCAATGGTGTCCTGTACAATCTCACTTTCTTGTCCCTGCTTTACTGAAAGCACAAAAATAGCTGACTGCAGCTGTAAACTTCAGCTAAGATGTAAACTCTGATACACTTGGGATGCTGGCAGAGATAAACTGAGGATAAAACTGAAAAGGATATTTAATAGGGGATAAGAGCACAGTGGAGAAGTATTTACTCAGAATGCAACTGTTGCTTAACAGCTGTCTGTACAGGTAAACAAAGACTTGGGGAAAGAGCTAGTTTGGCTACAGAACCAGGTCTGCTGTAGCTATCTCTGGTAACTGAGGACAAGGAAAAGGTTTCATTATAGACAAACTCATCACTGAAATCAAATATATAAACTGAATATATTAAAGCTTTGAATTTTATTACACTTAATTTCTTCAGAATATCTTACCCTTCTCTCCTGTTTAATGGTGGACCTAAACATGGGAAATAGAAGGATAAAGAAGAACCCCACTAAACGTGGAATACATTTCATCAGAGTCTGTGTAGGCCAGTTTGCCTCCTGTTACGACGACATTTACTTCATCTCCTGCTTTGAGGTGAAGAACAAGGTGGAATGTTCCAGGACCACCACAGGTCTGTTTCCCCGAGTAGGGTTTGTGGTACTCCAGCAGTTCCCTTCTGTACCCAGCCGTGTGCAGCTGAGCAACACTTGCATTGGAGACAGACAGCACTGCTTCAACATACTCATCCCTCTCCGGAGCCAGCACAGCTGTGATCAGGTAGCGCCCTTCATATGGTGATGTGAATATGCCTGCGGGAGAGAAACAGGCTGAGCTTGTCTGAGTTGGTCAACGTGGACAGCCCAAGCATCCTATGCACAATGACAAACACAAAGCAACATGGGTTATCCATTGCTCACAGAGATAACTGTGATAGGATCAGCTCAGCCAGCTGAAGCAGTTATGAAGACGAAGGAGAGTGTTTAGCTACAGGACTGTTCCATTACCATTCATTTTAGAACTTCCAAGCTCGGCTTGCAGAAAGTACCAACACCACAGGGATGTACACTTAAGTCATGACAGCTTTCAGTAATTCTGCACAGCCCTTAGCTTTACAGAGCCATCTCATGGAAGTTCAGGAGGTGTTTCAGGTGCAGACAGAGATGGTTTACACTGAAGCCTTAGAAGCAAGGAACCAGGCACAGGCATGCCTCATCGTGCTGCAGGTGCACTGCCTGGGATGTGGCCACTCTCCTGTTGCAGAGATACACATATAATCCTACTGCTTCTTTTGTGTTAGAGCCCACCAGTCCTTAAAGATTTTAACTAACATGTCTTGTCCACGCTCAGAAGCCACCTGTCCTAAGGAGCTGCCACAACTCATAGCTGGGTGAGGAATCAAAAGGCAGCCACATGCTGTGCAAGTGTCCAGTAGGTTGAGGCACGCCTAACATCCTCAAGTGACGTGACACTTGAGAAAGAGGTGGCCATGGTAACCATCAATGGGGAGGTAAAATACATTACCTCATTCCTTCCTCTACCCAGGCCACAGTGAGGTGGGTTAGCAAGTGCTTCTCAGCTCTAACTGGATGCAGCTGCTTGAGGTGGGGTGGGAACACAGACCAGCAGTGCTGGAGATGAGCTGTGCCTCAGCATGATTGGGATGGTGTGAAAAACCAAATATTACAAGTGTGCGCCTGCTAAATCCATGGGAAGCTCCTACCGTGGTGGATCTGGTTTGGGTGGACTCATGTATTTTGTTTTGTTCAATGCAACACAAGGCCAGGGATGGCATCATACCCTCGTAACCTGTTGCTGCCATCTGGCACCTCTGTGGGTCCGTTTTTTGGCTGTTACCTGTATTGGGGTTGTAATAATCCCCATCATTCACGAGCACTTTGTTAAAGTGAACCACACCAACGTCACTGGAGAAAGGCTTCTGCGTGAGCCCAGCTGAAAAGGACACCAGAGAGGCCGCAGCAGCAGCAGGTCCTAAAATGGGTAAGAACATGACTTAGGATCACGTCAGGACAACACAGCCCTTCCCTGTAATGGTTTATAACCCAGTGTCTCTGTTCCCACAGGTACACCACTCAGCCTAGCCCTTGAGGGATGCCAGAATTAGCAGACTACATACTGTTGGCCCAAGCCCCAGGTGTCTCATCATAAAAAAAGACATTAACTGAGTACTGTAACACTTCCCCCTTGGCCACAGCCTCCCAGCTCCCAGTCAGAAAACAGGCACTGCCTACAAGTTTTTCCTTCTAAGGAAGAGGAATGTGGCTCATAAATGCTGCAAGTGCAAATCATGCTGCACCTGAATTTAGCAAGCCTCTGCCATAAAATTTCCACGGGATTCAGGCTGCCCCTGGACATCTCTGCTCTGTATCACCATCACAGTGGCAACAGAAGTGCTGAAGGTCTATAGTTCATGCCAGCTTTCCTGGTTGAGAAGCTGCATACAGCTCTGATCTCCTCTGCTAAAGAGGCAAAAATATCTCCAAAGCAACAGGTATTCCAACAAAGAGAACCATCTCTGGGGCTCTTCTCCTTTTCTTTTGGGGAATTTTTCACTCTATATCTTTACTTTTTTTTCCTAAGCAAATCAGACAGACACATGAGTATTCCACAATTCCACCAGCTAAGCAGTGCAGTTAAACTGGTGACTGATGAAATGTCCTTTGGACAATTAGGACAAAATTTAGCTTTTAGGCAGACAGACTTAAAGACAAGACTTAAGTGACCACCCACCTGCTTGTTCTGTTTTAGCTCCCTTCCCTCTACACATTCCCCCTAAGCAGGAACACTGCCAGCAGTGGTCAGCTCTTGTTGCTGTGCTCAGACAATTAGTGGTAAGTAATGAATACACTTAAAGTTCCCCTTGGCTGCTCTTTCTCTTCTTCCCTATTCAGATTAGGATCCATGTCATCTCTGTGCTGTGCCAGTCCTTGCTCCTTGCTCTGCCTTCCTTAAAATAAATATTTGTTTCCTCTTTCTCTCAATTTGACAGTAACCATCAGAAACCAATGATACAACCATTCAATTCACTTCAATACAGAAGAAGTGACAAATCTTTATCTACAATGAGAATATACCAATGCTGCGCTAGACTTTTTTTTTTTTCTTTTTTCTTTTTTTTTTCCCCTGAGTAACTTGGCACAGACACAGGGGAACTTAAGGGAAGGAGATGCAAATAACCACCAGCAGTTCCCTTCGGGGCCATTAACCAGATGTCTCGTGTATCTTTGGAAATCTCCTCATTCAGTACTTAGCCTGCTTTGTGAGCATGAGACAGAAGCCCTTTTAGCTGCCAGTGCACGTGCAGGAGCTCCTTTGAACTGAGATGAAGTTGTTCGAAAGGACCCAAATGAATTGCAGGAAGTCTACTTAAGGAGCTCCTGCAAAGTTCCAGCACTTTAACACCACTTTCTACTCTCAGCTTACTCTGAGACTGAAACCAACTGTTAATGCACATCAACTAACTTCTCGCTGGTTGACTCAGACAGGTTCCTCTCACCTACAGTCACACAGTACAGATGGCACAAACTCTGCAGCTTGCCCATAATCGCTGTGCTGGAACTCACAGCAGCTACATACCATCCGGATGGGGAAGTGACTCCTGTCCTGGCTCACCACAGCTTCCCTTAGGTTTTCCTGCACTGACAATAATTGTTTGAATAGACTTTAGATTTTGCTGCTGAAGTTGCTTCAGATCTGCAGCCTTGTTCTTTTGAGCCATCAGCTCAGTTTTATGAGCACTGGTCTAAAGAAGAAATCTTAAATGCCTCTAAATATCCTGTAGATTAGTTTAAAAGAGGTTGTGGATGCCCCATCCCTGCGGGCATTCAAGGCCAGGCTGGCTGTGGCTCTGGGCAGCCAGATCTAGTGATTGGTGACCCTGCATATAGCAGGGGGGTTGAAACTACATCATCATTGTGGTCCTTTTCAACCCAGGCCATTCTATGATTCTATGATTTCCAACTGCAGCTGTGCTTGTTTGAAGCTTGCAGAAGTCCTACCAATATCTCTCAGCAATGCTTTTGCAGAACCTTATAGAGAAGTGATCCAACCTCCCACACATATCCCCACCTGCAAATGCTTTTCCTCACACAGAGATCAGTTTCTCAAGGCAAGGTCTGGGCTTGGAACCGCTCACTTAAGCTAGCGACGTGGAATTACATAAAAATCAGGAAGAAAAGCTTCAAAGCATTTAAAAGCCAGGAATCACATACACCATCCTCATGCAGACACAGCTTGACAGAGAAAAAGCTTCACAAAAGATTCACAGGGCCTGTGAGCTCTGTTAAAGTCACCTGTTTCTGAAATGGATCATAACTCACAATAGGAGAAATTTCTTCTCAGAAAGAGCAGTGATGCAGTGGCTGCCCAGGGAGGAGGTGCAGTCACTGTCCCTGGAGGTGTTCAAGAACCGTGTGGATGTGGCACTGAGGGACATGGTTAGTGGGCACGGTGGGGATGGGCTGATAGTTGGACATGCTGATCTTAGTGGTCTTTTCCAACTTTAATGATTCTATAATTCATTCAGTGTGCTATGGAGACACAACTACTTTGCCTCAGAGTCTGCCCATAACAGCTCTTTCTGCTCTTACTGCTCCTACTTTACAAATCTCAGCACGGAAAGGTTTGCCCTGTGGCTGACCTACTGTTCCTTGCACAGATATCTGTCCTCTACCCAGGCCTTCAAGTCTGCTTCTGTGAATTATGCTGTTTTTTCATACAAACAGTGGCAAAACACAACCACTGGTGCAATGCCTTCCACTGCACTGAATCATTATCGCGTAATAACCAGAATGTTGTTCCCGATCAAGCAATCAAAAGGAAGGGCTAAATAAGCAAGAGAATCCATTACAAGCACAGCACGAGAATTTATGTATTCAATAAATTTTTTCTTCAAATCAAGGAGCACCTGCAGCAGCACAAATCTTCCATCACAATAAACCTCATGGTTTTATATTTGGAACATGTCCCATAGCTTTACTGTCATACGTCATATGGAGATGGCTCAATGTCAGACAAGTGAGAAGAACTAAAAAGCCCAAATCAACATTCATCTGCATATATTCAGCAATGTTCATACAGCACTAGGGTTCACTGGCTCAGCAGTTTTTGGTACTACACGGCACAATAATCAGAATCATTAAGGCTGGAAAAGATCTCTAAGATCATGTAGTCCAACAATCCACCTACCACCAATACTGCCCACTATGTCCCCCAGTGCCACATTCATACTTTTCAACACCTCCAGGGTCAGTGAGTCCACCACCTCCCTGGGCAGCCTGTGCCACTGCCTCACCGCTCTTTCTGAGATGAAAATTTTCTTAATATCCAACCTGAACCTCCTGTAAAGCTTCTCTGAGAGAAGCAGTCAACCTTCATCAGAACTGCAGAGTTCAGGGCACTACCAATAATGCAAACCAGAGAGTGGGGAAGGCAGTTTGTGCTTTCAGTGAAATTTTTTCACTGTGATCCTCTGTATGCTGATCAGAGTGTCCAAATTCTCTCCTTGGCTCTGTCTTTGCCCAGCTGTCTGACTGGGGATCTTCAAGCACTTTTTTATTGGCTCCCAGACCAGTTCATCAACCAGTCTATGACCTCTGCCTCTGCAACTGTCAGTAAAAAAAAGTTCTCATGGCTCTTAAATTGTCATGCTTCAATATCTGCTCATGATGCTTTTTTTCAGTAACAGTTGATTCAGCACTTTTTGTAGTAAAAGTGATTAAGTGGATGAACTTTGGTCCTGGTACTTAGCTCACCTTTATGATAAATTCCTTGCTCAGAAACAGAAATGAAAGGGAATCAGAAATAAAAGGGAGTACTTAGAAGGCCAATTTAATAATACATGCTTTCTGCTTTAGGAATTATAGGACTTTGCTCAGGGACATGATTTAGCAGAGGGTTGTTAGAATTAGGGTAGTTTGGTTAGGTTGTGGTTGGACTCAATGATCGTTAAGGTCTTTTCCAACCTGAGCAATTCCATGATTCTATGATTCTATAGAACAAGGCTTGATCTTTCAAACAACAATTTCAGTACCATAAAATGTAGAAGACTGACAAAGACATCATTAACTAGAATTATGTATGAAAGATTCCTCAACATCTTACCTAAGTTCTTCCTCCAATAAATCCCAAATCTTCACTTTCTCAGCTGTTAATTTCTATAACTTTTTCAGCTGCTGTCTTTTCCCCAAAGAGCTCTCTGTCACTGCTATTTATAAACAGTCCCCACTTACATGATTAGGGTCAGTGGGTGTAAATGCCCCAACAATAAGTAAACAACAATAAGTAAAATAGCTATTTGTGCCACATCACATTTGTACCACACCATACTAACTGCTTTCTACGACCTTATCTGACCTCAGGGTCTGCAGGGCATTTTGGGTGAAGTGTGACAGATCAGCAGGTCTGTCTTATATTGAGATAGTCTTCAGAGGCATAGATAGGAAAAATAACTCCTTGGTTGAGCCTGCCTCTCTCTAGATCTCAGAGTGATACCCTTTGTTGCAACACGTTCCACCAAGCAGCAATCATGCACATCAGCTACCCCACCTTGCCCTTCTTACATTTTTAACATGCACAAGTTCATACATTTTTAGCATAAACCTATTAAAATACTGCTGCCTATAACTGCAGAAGTTTGTAAAGAGAAGAATAAACCCCCAGGATATCCATTTATCACAGAAATCATTTATATGAGTTTGCTGGCATCAAGATAAATGAGCTTTTCTTTACTTCACATCCTTTTCCAGAAGCCTTATCTATTGCTGCTTGTTCTTGCCACTGCAATCCTCAAGATTGCTTCAAAGCTTTGATAGATTTTTAATTAGGAAGTATAGACATCAGAATTATGACATCGACTCTTCACAGCTCTTCTTGTCACACCCCAGAACAGTCTTCACAAAGAGCACCTGTGATTTTGTTAAGACTACTAAACTAAAACCCAAGGTTGGGATTTTGGACGCCATCAAGCCCTGATTTTGTATCTACTTATGACTACATCTACTTAAACAAACGTAGATGAAATCATTCTTTGTGAAGAAAGGGTGGGAATATTCACAGGATATCATTCACAAGACTTTGATAATATCTAGGGTGTGAGGCTGTAGGGCAGGCAGCACCCCATCAACATAGTTATTGAGGCCAACTAGTGTCTCCCACACAAAGGTAATATACCCGTTTATCATACAAATCCATGAGTGAATTATGATATGAACAACTATAATAAAGCCACACTTAACCTAGAAAACTGCATTTTACATCTTTCTAAATGGTTGTGGACAGTGGGAGCACTCCTACTTTCACTGTAGTCAGGAACATGTTGTCATCTTTTCAACAAAGGCAGAAACTCCCCCATGAGAAGGACCAACTCACATGCTATCTCAGTTACTAACAGTGCTTCCTGACCTTAGAATCAGCCTTATTAATCTCTTCCTAAAGAAATATTAAATTCATTGGAAAGAATTATATATTTTTTTACTTAAAAGGAAAAAAGATCAGTCCTGACATTTGCTAGGAAACAGAAACCCTTCATAATAAATAATAAAAAACCAACCCCACAAAATAAGCAACAATAGCCCCAAATAAATTATTTTTTTAAGATCAAATTTTCAAAGGATGCAGATTTAATGCTTGGGTACAGTAAAAATGTGTCAGATTTTCCTCAACATCACTTTCTTCTCCCAGCCAGACCTCTCCAGAGTCTGAAATAAAGCACCTGTGTAAAGAATTTCTAGGAAACAACGGTCTTACCTTGTGAGTCTATGGTTGGAGGCGATAGCTTTGGATATCCTGAAAAGGAAAAGTGTTGCATGGTATGTAATTGTACATTATGACAAAGTATCATTGCATTCTTCTAGAAAAACATCCTCTGTTAACATAAAATAACCTACTGAAATAGTTAACAAACAGCATCTCCTACAAAATGCTCAGATTATCGTTAAGCTGCGGTGGTTGTGGCAAAGAAAACTAAATTCTTATTCTAATATACTATAAGCACTACAGGAAGAAAAAGTTAAGCTTCCCTAGTGGCAAATGCTGCTGTATTCACCAAAAATTTCATGTCAGTCCCACTGACATCATGCTCTGCACAGCCCTGGCAAAGGTAACAACACTGGCACTGAGCACTTTTCCCCTACTTCCATTGCCAGCTGGAGGCTGCCAAGCTCCATGACAAATCACCTCTGCCATAAGCCTGCTCCAAATAGCTGTAATGGGTGAACAGGAAGGCCCCCTAAAAAAGTCCACGGGTCTCACTGAAGAATTCACTATTTATTTGACTCTCACCTGGTGCTCCAGCGTATCCCTCTGCAATGGGCATGGTGCTCTGACCAGCCTGACCATCGACGCTTCTCAGCCGGCCTCTCCCTGACATCAGCACTGTGCCAGGAGGTCCGGCCTCCCCGGTTTCCAGGATGATCCCGGTCGTGCCAGGCAGGAATGGAGTCAGAGCTGAGCCAGGCAGCGCCGGGCGTGGAGGCCTGGGCTGCGGCGGCTGCAGCGGGGGCTGCTGCCGTGGGGGCTGGATCCTGGGCCTGGAGGGCAGCAGGGGTGTGCCAGGCTGGGGCTGCAGCGGAGGTCTCGGTGGCACTGCCTGCCGCGGTGCTTCCGCTCGCCCTTTGGAATGTTTGAAGAAGAAAACAACCGAGAATTATTTGCCTAAAACAGAATTGCTGTACGCACATTGATGAAAATATTTCAAAATTAAATGGGACTCAGTTCAAGACCATCTTACCACTCAGGCACTGAGCCACGTGGACAAAACTCCACAATGCGCTTGAAATACTACAGACTGCCCGCTTTTTCAGCCTGTGCCACAGGGATGTGAAGAGCAACAGTCAAAGCAACCTGTGAACACTCCCTAATTAGTCCAGCCTGGGCTTTCTGTACCAAGCTGGCCTGTATTTTACAGCTGCCTCCCACCAGTGCTTTCATCTCCACTTCATGCTCTCCCTCCTTCCTTCATGTCAGTCCCTCCTGCTGACATCTCTTCGTTCTACTCTGCCCTCAGCACCCAGCACAGAGCAGACTTGTTCATATCCAAGCCTTGAGTATTACCATGAAAAAAAAAAAACAACACAGAAGAAAAAGAGTAAATGGATACTGGCTTAGGGATTATTTTTTTTTTCCCTCTCCTTTGAAAAGCAATGAATTGATAATTCTAAGTGCTCCCATTACTAATATTTTCTAGCAACAAAGGCAGAACCCCAGGACATAATTTACCCAAAGTGCCTTTATTGTTTAAAAAGAAGAGATACCATTAGGAGAGTTTTCCAGCAGGGCAGCCAATGCATATGACATCAGGGCTGACACAGTTACATTTGAGATCTGTTCCAGTTCTAAATCCCTTATAGGAATTATGATGTATTCATATAAATGAAGTCCTAGATTAAATTTAAGGATACAATATCCTCTGAAGTGTGAAGCTGAATTATGTCTACATCAAGAATGGCATTAACAAAAAAAAGTTCCTGCCTAAATGCACATTTCAGCATGGTAAAAAGTTTCTAACTATATCAATATTGTACATTAGCACTGGATATATTTGTTGAAATTTAAGACTGAAACATGACTTTAGGCAAAGGGATGGGAATGAGAAATGGACAAACATCCTCTTGCAAACTACCCAATTCAACTCGCCACGCCAGACACTCCACAGAGTCTGCAGCAGGACCTAGGCCCTCCATACGTCTCATAAGATCTTCACATAAGCTTTCCAGATTACTACAAGGCTATCCAAAATCACAGTCTCGTAACACCTGCATTCATTTGCTATATATGCCCTCTAAAAAAGTCTTTCTGAGCTTTGCTGGCTGATTTTACATCGGTCCTAAAAGACAAGCAAAGGAGAGTGTACCCTCTGGGAAATGAGAAGAGAGAACTGGCTTCTTTAGACATGGAGAAAGCTGAGGAACTTAATGAGTTCTTTGCCCTGGATTTAAACTAAAAGAGGATTTAGGTTAGATGTTAGGAAAAAACGCTTTACTAAGAGGGCAGTGAGGTGCTGGCACAGCTGCCTAGAGAGGCTGTGATGCCCCATCCCTGCAGGCACTCAAGGCCAGGTTGGATGGGGCCCTGAGCAGCTGAGCTCCTGGGCGGCAGCCCTGCCCATGGCATGGGGTGGGACTGGGTGGGCTTTGAGGTGCCTTCCAACCCACACCTTTCTGTGATTTATGATCCTAATTTGTGATACAATGCTAACAGTTAATGTTATCTCTCACTGACGTAATGCAGAGCATGCAGTCTGTTTCTTAGATTGTAAGCTCAGCAGATGATACTTAGCTGTTATTTTTCAAACTCTTCTACAGAGACAATCACCAGAGGAATTGCAGCTCAGGTCAAATAACGGTAACCAAAGCAAACTACAAGCAGCTGGCTATGAGACTATACTTCCATCCACCAAAAAGTTTTGTGAATCCGTATGAAAAGCCAGCAGCAAAAAAGAAACCTCTGACTTTAACAGCACTTAGTTTCACAACATTTGAAGAGCAATTGTGTCTGCAGGGAGGAACAGATCAGAATGAGAAAGCTCTTCTGCAAGGACTTATACTATAAAATGAGGAGCTGGGGGCAGCAATCATTTTATTTTGGACAAAACATGGCTGGATTGCATTACCTTGGCAAATACATCATATGCAGTCATTTATGTGCTTGGAGCAGACCACCACCTGCCATCACCTTGTTTAATGCTAACAGAACAAAGTTATGCAATCTTCACCAGAAATCCAAACTAATACCACATGCTTCTGGCCTCTGGGTCTCTATGTGCTGTCATGCGCAGCCATTCTCTAATGCAGTGTCTTAGTTTGGGCTCTGAATTCAAAACATCTGAATAAAAAATTCTGAAGAAAATATAGCAACGCTCTTAAATTCAGTGATAAGAGTTGAAGTTGCATTCCTTCTAAAGTATCCTTGCCTTACCGCCCTCAACAACCATATTAATAATAAGTTGTTCCAGTTCTGGTCCTTCTGAAGTCGAATGATATCACTTGAATGCTACGATACACTGGCAAATAGCACAGAAGAAATTCAGCACTGATCTACAGCCAGAACTGAAAACCTTTCCAATCAGCATCGGTATCAGAGAGGATCCTGCAGTCACACTGACCATGAAAGTAAAAACTGTTAGAGCTGCGCCCAGCTCCCGTAACGGGGCTCCCAAACTGCTTTCCAAAAAGGCTCTTTTGCCAAAATCTTTCTGGACCTCCAATTATCAAAATTTACCCAGACTGCTGTGCTAGACAGTATTATTCTAATTGGAAACATTTGACAATCAACGCATGAACCCTTGAGAGGCCAGAAGCAGCCTGAAGCAGAACCAGCCGCCCAGGTTACTCGCACTTCCCAGCTCTAACAGCTGGGCTTCTCCCTGGGTGCCTTAAAACCCAGTAATGGATGCAGAGAACAGCTCTGCTATGAAACTGAATTATGCTATGGCAGCCCAGGTAAGCTTAGGCTTTCTAATGCCTTATAATGCTGTAATAGAGGTTGAAAGAAGATTTTACTAAGAATATCCAAGAATTATGGACCTCTTCTATTCCTCCTCACTTCTGCCTTCAATGGAAGAGAATTAAACAGAAAATAATTAATTAGTACTTCATACAAGAGCTTCTCACCTCAGAAGGATTTTGTGTTAAGTACTGCAATACATTTGGTCTTAATCAAACATTCAAAACAAACACATCTAGCACAAGCTTTCAAGTCTTTGCCTGAGGGTGGGAGAAGCATTCTTCCCAACAGAAATTACCTTGGATCTTTCCTGAAGAAACTTTTCCATGCACACAAGCACACTCTCAGTTATGCATCAGATCTTTCCCAACCACCACCAGCTCCAACAACCTATGAGGCTTTCTTTCAGCGCCTTTTCTTCAGATTTAGGGCCAGACACAGAAATTGGCCTCTTTCCTACTGCTCTCTCACCACCCGAATGCACGGTGCATTCCTCTGAAGGCACCAACTTCAACCAGGAATTAATACTCCGGCAGGACTGGACATGGCACCTCTATCTCAATTTTGATACAGTAATTTGCCTTGTGTCAAATTTACCTCAGATATACACAGAATTAAAACGAGAAGTATCCCCTGCACTACACAACCAACTGAAAAATGAAATTTCAGAATAGTCTGAACTTCCTATGTTGGTTTTGCTTTTTTTTCCCTCATGGAAACAGAAACAGGAAACCAACTTGCTTCGGTAAACTCTGATTCTATCAAAAAACACTGCTGAAATTTTAGGCAAGAATTGCAGGGGGGAGTGACTGACATTTGGCAAGGTCTCTAAACCATCATGGCCAGGTTCACTGACATGCAGAAGTCACCATTTCATGGTATTATGTACCAGAGAGGATGTGCCTCTGCTTCTCAACCACTCTAACACAAACTTGAAACTCACAGGGAAGGCACATTAAGCAAACAAGCTGGATGACTAACAGAATTGGCCGAGGTGTGAAAACAATGCCAGTGCTGACGTAAGCACATTGTCAACTTGCCAACTACACTGTGAGAATGCAAACTTCTGGCAGGGCTATGAAGTGTTAAATTGACACATCAAAATATGCCAGAGCTTGTTTGTGAAAGCTGCACATGAAAAAGTTGATGCTGAGTTATAATTATTAACACATGCTGTGGAAAAAACTTACAGGGAATCTTTCTTATCACAAATTCAAACTCCTTTGTCTTCAGTTTTCTCAGCTTACCCTTGAGGAATTAGCTGGGGGGATTCTCACACATAATCTCATATATATGCACATACAAAAAATAAAGCTGAATAAAACTAATTGGAATAACACCCACAGATAATTATTAACTATAACTCATTTAAATACAGTATCTAAAAATATTACATTTTCTTCTCCCCTTATTCTGGCTTAAAGTAAGCATGAAAGCACATGGTACTTTTTTTTTTTTTTTTTTTTTAAGAATGCCTTTGAAAAGCAGTCAAAGCTCTCTATGGTGTTCTAAAGAGTCAAAACTGCAGCTGTTGTAAAAACAAAGCAGTAATAGTGTAAAATTAATTCTTTCCTCCTTTGTTTAGTTACTGTATATATGATTCAGAAAAGAAGGCCTGTTAAAAGCAAATAAAATAAAAAAGGCAGGAAAACTTACTTGTGTCAGACTGTGATTTCAGCATGCCTTCCATGTCTGTGGTGATTTTAGAGACCTGACTATAAAACCGCTGGACAGAATTTTTGAGGCCAGAAATATCTTTGGAATGAGATGATATAGTTCCATTCATTTCACGTATGCAGTTCCATAAGCTGCTCACGTGCTTATCTAGACCTTCTTTTATCTTCTGCAAGCTACCCGAAACAGAGTCCAGCTTGCCACAAACCTTTTCAACACGTGAGACTCTGCTTTCAACATCTGAAACACCATCCTGCATACCATGGGCCTTTTCTTTACACTTGCTATGATCATTCAGGATTTGGTCATTTATTTGTTCTAGTCTCTCTCTCATTTCACTGCAGCAATTATCACTAGGATGAATGGTTTGATTTGCAAATGTCTTCTGCATTTGATCAATTTTTCGGTAGACACCTCTTTGTGTCTTTCTACAGGTAGAGTTGACTCCCAAAAGTTGCTCCTTACAACTATTCAAGCCATCTTGAATATTCTTCACGTCTTTATCCATGACATTTAGACTATACCGGAGTACACGTAAATCTCTCTGTATTTTCTGGTTGTCACGCTGGTTACCCTTAATTTTCTCATTAAGAGAGCTATTTAAAAATTGCAGAAGAGCAGAATTGTTCTCTGTTTTCATAAGCAAGTGACTGTAATTGTTATTACAATTTTCTAGCTCTTTCTGAAGGTCCTCCATACTCTGTGGTACAGACTGGCATTTCTGCCCACAGAGGCGTTCAAGGGACAGCAGTTTGTTCTTCATGAGATTCATTTCTGCTGTAAATTGCTCATTTGCAAACCCAGTGTCACTGGGCATGATAGGCACAGGATTCATGTACATTCCATCTGGGTCTGTGGTATTAGCCATCTCTAAAATAGTGCCACCTAGCCTATCTTCTAGTGCCCGTAGCTTTTGGTCAAACAAGTCTCTCAATTCATCTGCCTCAACAGCTATAGTGTTTCGGAGAGTTTCCTCAATGTAAAAGCAGTGCTCTTCAGCATTTCGTTCAGTGATGTTCATCCTTGCATCTAGCTCCTCCAGCCTCTCACCAAACATGTCTTCCAAATCTGGAGTTGACAATCGACTGATTTCATTATCTATTCTCACGTTCAAGATCCTGTGTGCTTCCACAACTCTGTCAAGCTTCTTATCTAAATCTTTTATCTGCTGGCCCAAGTCATTTCTCTCACTCTCCTTGCAGCAACTGGAATGGTTTGATGGAATCTGAGTACGGAGAGAATTTATCTCTTTCTTCAAGTCATTTTCTTTGCCTTTTATAACATCTATTATACCTAAACAGTTATTTTCATTGTCATCACACTGCTGCTGGATATCCTGTAGTTTGTATTCACAAGAGTTCTTCAGATCTGCCATTTTCTTTTCAAATCCTTCCAGTAATTCCTGTCTGAGGGACTCAAATTTTGAGTCTATATATTCCCGATATATATTGTCACTAGGCATTGTTATTGTAGGTCCCTGTGCTGCCTCCTGCAGTTGCTTTAACTGTCCTTCATAGCCTTTTACTTTACCATTCAGTTCCTCCAGCTTATCATTCCTGTTCTTCAAAGCCTCTTTGACCTCAGCTAGCTCAGACTTTAGATCTTCCACTTCAAAATCAAGAAAAGGGTCTTTCTGATCTTTATTGCTGAGGAGTCCAGGCAGATGAATACTGTCTGTTTCACCACTAACTGCACTATCAGGCTCCGGGCGATCATAAAGGTTGTTCAGCCAAGTGACCAACATTTTACTGGCATCTTCTTGAACAGTCAGCTTCAGGTTTTCATTCACACGTGCCAAGGAGGACTGAAGTTCTATCACTGATCGTGTAAGTCTGAACAATTCTTCCTCAAAAAACTGCATTTTCTTCTCATGTGGTGGAGGTTCTGGCACTTCTGTTGGTTCAGCATCTGTTTCAAAGAAATAACAGACAAAGTCTTTATATAAGTATTCCTAGTTGTGTCTGTTTCAGTCAACTGAAAACGATTGTACTTTCGCTGAAATCCAAATAATGTTCTAGAATGCACAATGCTTGTTCCTTTTCCTATCTGTTCTTTCAATAGTTTGTTATTAAAATTTTACCAAATAATTTCAAACTAGAAGTTTTAGAACATTGACCAATTCTTGCCACAATACTTGTTGTTAAATAAATTAGCAAGCAGAAAATCACTAATAAAACACTAATTACAGATTTATATATGTTAATGCACAATTCTCTCAGAACCATGGTATCCTCTGTAACAATAACTTAGTATGTGCTGCTCTTAAATTTCCATCGAAGATTTGAGTAGCAACAACTTATGTGCATGAAGAGCCTTTGTGCTCCAGTATTTTGCTGAATTTGAGTTCAAATGCATACACTGGATAGAGTTCTTCACTCCTGTTATCACACTCACTTCAAAATTATGCAACCCTAACCCTACCTTGATACATATTTAAATAGTAAACTATGTGTATAGAAGCATAATCTTTGCATATCCAAAATTAAAGTAACACTAGCACTACGCTCTTTCAATGAAAAAAGTACAAGTAGACTATTTATTTACACACCCCTTTGCCATTATGCACAAAGGAGTAAACTCTATAAGGACATCATGCATAGTCCCAATTCTGATTTTGCACGATATCCTTCATATAATTCAAAATTCAAAGACCTTTGCAGAGAAAAGGCATTCTATTACAGGAACAAGTACAAGTAAAATGAAGTTAAGAAGCAGAAGTGAAGGAGAAAATATACTTTATCATGGAAAACAGATACACGAATTCTTAGCATCAGAAGAGTTCTTTCAGATGACAAGTAAACAGCTAAGAATAAGAAAAGTTCCCTGTCAAACTGTGTCTATATTGTGCTCAAGAATTGTTAACAGTTAAATTTTCAGACCAAAGAATCCTAGCACTGGTTCCAAGCTATAAGGTAGGACAACATTAAGATAAGTTCTGAAAGCCACGAAATTGGAATTATTCTTAGTTTTAAACTGGATTTCAGCTTAAAGACAGCACAAAAGATATTCAAGACTGGCATGGTGGCCAATTTAATACTGAAGAAGTATGAACATATGGTGTATAGCTACTACATACACAATGGTCCATGTTTCCATTGAAACAGTTTTTTGGGGATTTTTTGTAGCAGCAGAAAGAGAATCTCTCTATATAAGCAGCATACAAGTTACTAAAGAGATTGCTGTGTTTTATTATCAACCTTTGGAAGTAATATTTTAGGTGGGCTATTAAAATATTTAAAAGCCTTATTTTTAAAGAATGTATATAATCTATAGGAATAATTTAAAGCCATGTATTCAAACCACTTCATTCAACTACATTAAAAAAGCCACTGGAAATCTGACTAAGTATATGTGACATTAATCTCCTACGATGCTGTGAAAAAGCCCTTTGGAAGGAAACATCTTTTCATCATCTTTTCTTAATGGTAAAAGGCATAATACTACAGTAAGAACACTCCTCTTACCTTTTAAGAATATAGTATCTTATATAAACATCGTTCATTCTTTAAGGTATTTTTTCAGCATTTGAGGCTTATCATTCCCTTACCTACTACTTAAGGCAAGTAATCTAATATTAATCTGTAAAATCTGCTCAAGCCCTTGAACAAACAAAGCACTGTGAAACTGCTAGGAAGAATTACTTAGTATTAAAATTAGTATATTCTTTTTTAATAGCAGCTCCTCTCAAATATAGCTTTCTTCCCAAATACTGAAGAAACAAACAAACACAATATCTCTTAGGAAAGAAAAAAAAAAAAGGCTTTAATATTTTCCTGAATCATGAGCAGACACCTGGCATTTATGGCCAGTGTTCCACACCCATCCCTTCGTTATTCTTCAGGAAATTCTCTGTATTAAGATTACTGTTGCCTGGCTATTATTTTCCCACCACACAGTATCTTCCATATGGATCCTGTACCTGCCAGCAGTTGGGTTTAATCAAAACCATAATGATTATTAAGAGGACAAAGCAAGAAACCAGACATGATCATGCATACCAAAACTCAAAGAAAAAGTTACCCAAGCCTTTCTTCACAATAGCTTTTGCTGGTGTCGTGGGCCGGCGAGCTGCCCTGGGCTGTTCCGATGGCCCTTCTCTGCAGTCTTCACCTTTGTACCCAGGACAGCATCTCCATTCTAGCTCTGTCACAGTCTTATATGCAACCGTGTACCGAGGTCTGAAACTTGTTCGGTATCTGCCAAAACAGAGAGTATTTTAAATTATTTGTAACCTAATCTGTTATCTGGATCAAACTTAAGATTGTTTTTCCTTTAAAAATCATTTCATATGCACTTCATTTTCTTCTTGGAACACCAAATGAACAAATGTTTTTGTCCAGGTTTTAAAGTTACCTGCACTTAACCAAGGCCACTTCAGGGAGAGCAAGCATGGCCAGAGCAAGTGGGATAACATGCTGGGGGAAGGGTCATCCACCAGACACTGCTGAGAGTAACAGTGACTGCCAGAGTATGGATTACTCTATAAATTCAAAGCTTTTCTCCTCTAACTACTTGTCATCACAAACCCACCCATGAGGATCCTTTAGCAGTAACCTGACATCACAAAATGTTTCTGCCTGCTTTGTCTCTCCATAGTCACCACTTAAACATTCCTCATAATCTGTGTGTACAGAGCAGTTACAGCCAGGAAGACTATTCCAGGAAAAGACAAAACACTGAAAGCATGAGTCAGATAAGGACATGAAAGAAGGAGCTGGAAGAAAGGCAAGGACCAGTGAAGGAAGCAACTTTTCCTCACTTCATTGTCCCAGTTAAGCTGGAGAGGATCTTGCAGACAAACCTCTGCACTTTACATGCATATGACTTCAAGGATCCCCAATTACTTGCTCAAAAGCGACTAAGTAGCAAACTGCTTCTAAATGCACAACTTTCTTTAACCAAGACTATTTCCACAATTTTGTTTACGCACATATAACATGGAATCCCCCCAGGCCAAATTTCAGAAGCTGTTTTATTTTATAAAAAACTGCATCAATTTAAGGAATAGTTATTTTGGATTGATAGAAGTAAATATGGAATAAAGAAAGAATATGGAATAAATACTGACTAAATGAGGAAAATAAATAAAACAGGAGTGGTTATACCAGGAACACAGTCTTCAATATAAACAAAAAGTTATCCCAATTTCTCATGCCAATTCCTTTCTGTGAATAAAACTAATTTTACAGTGCCTTCTCTACTACAGTTTTTAGGTCTTTATTTGAAGGCTATTTCAGTTTGCTTCCATTAAAGATGGACGTGCTTCCCAACTGAGGTGCCCCTAGAGCAGTAATACCATACAAGAAACAAAAGGCAGCGGCGAAGAGCCCTCCAACAGATTTCATTCATACAGGGTGTCTTTTAGGACACAGAATACAGTGCAGAACCAGAAACAGCTGTGCTATCACAAAGAATCGACTCCATGTTTCATTAAATGTTTTCTTGTATTAGTATGCAAACTCCCTTTTTGTTTAAAAGTAATCAGCTATCAGATGGAAAGTATTGTGCCAACCGTGAAGCAATTTGTATTGAATGTAACAGAGTTTAACCGTTAATCTCCACAGCTTCTCCTGCCACATTTGCAAATAATTAAAGAAAAAAAAATATATATATATTTATGCAACATCTCCCACTTCACAGACATAATTTTAATATGTCCTACATCTGATAGCCATTTGTTGTGTGTGTTCTGGTGAGCTGCTTCACAAATTTGGGGTGGGGGAGTTCAAAGTGTTAACTACTAATTTGTTTCTTCCCCAGTTCTGCAACAATATATTCTAATTTTTGCACAGAGGAAATACTCGGTGCTCTTTTGTGTTACCACTTTATCTATAATCATAGCATCATGGAATGGCTTCGGTTGGAAGGGACCTCAAGGATCATGAATCTCCAACCTCCCTGCCACATGTAAGGCCACCAACCTCCACATTTAATACTAGGGCCCCATCCAACCTGGCCTTGAACACCTCCAGGGATGGGGCATCCACAACCTCTCTGGGCAGCCTGTTCCAGCACCTCATCACTCTCTTGGTAAAGAGCTTCCCCCTGACATCCAACCTAAATCTTCCCACCTTCAACTTAAAACCATTTCCCCTTGTTCTGCCATTATCTACCCTACAACCTCTCACTGAAGGACAAAAAGTTACTTTGACTAGAGACAATGTCTTTTCACAACTATTTTGGGACTAAACAGTAGTCAGTCTAACAAGCCATACTGGATTCTCTTTTCTCTTAACAGAAAGGCAAGGGTGGGTCTGGCTGTAAATCTGTCTGTCAGCCACTCCCAGCTGCGGTGGTCTGCTGTGGTTATCAGGTTTTCTGATTCTGACTTGGTGAACATTAACTCCAAGTGGGTTTCCAGTCTTTTTTTTTTTTTTCTTTACCTTTGCAATAGCATACATGAAACAGCTGCGGGCTGGTCTCAAGCTCATAATTTCTTTTACTGTGTTCATGAAAACGTCTGCTGAATGTTGTTTACAAATGTAAAGTGCAGACATCTCAAGGTCAAGTGCTTAAAAATTAAATAGATTAGTGCAGCGTAGAAGGCACCATTGGAAAGGACAACATCCCAGCCACCCATGAATTTCCTTTTCCTGCTTGCTTATCTGAATGTTAAACCACATCTCACTTAGGGAATTTGGGTACAATTCCCACCCTTTGAACCAGCTGCTAGAGGCAGAGAAGTGTCAGGATTAGCTAGACGTTTTAGGGGTTTGAAGTGGTTGAAGAGTCATTACCATCTCTCTCACAAGCACCGCATTACTGAAGTACAAACTCAAACTTCCAGATCAATTTTCCTATGCCGGAAATGGTAGTACATACTTTTCTCTGATTTCCATAAAGCACTTAACTGCTCACAGCTCTGTGTGTGTTCCTTCCTACAGTTTTAGGGCCAAAATCCCTCCTGCAAATCCAACTATTTTGATGTCTTCAGACACCACCAAGTTGCATCTCCCTATTTCTTTCCATAGAGAATGTTTAAGAATATAGCTAAAAACAATTCTGTAAAAGGAATAAGGACAACTTTAGTGCAAAATTACTCAAATTACGCAATTTTCCTTGTACCATTTCTGCCACTTCAATCATAGCTCAGGCAAGTTTATGCATAGTTCCTCTATAGTCACGTTCATCAATGCAGACACCTTCAGATGACTTCAATATTCAGCTAACAGTAAATTACAAGACGCTATCACATACAAAAGAAGAATATAGAAAAAAATCTAAAGGAATCATGCTTAATATTTTTCATATGGATAAATTATACAACTTTTTAAAAGAAGTTTTTAAAGCCAGGACTTTGCTCACAGAATGGATTTCAGCTGGGGGAGCTGCAGTCTTCCAGGGCTGTGCCAGGATTTAACAGTGTAACAGCACCAAACACAATTATATTCTTGGAAAAGGTTCTGACAAAACAAAAGCAAAACGTAACTTTCTGGTAGAGAGCACATCCAAAAAATAATTTGCAGTTCTACATAATTAATGACATAGGATTGGGAGCTACTGAATAAGTCTGTATTTATATCTGCAGTTCTTTCAATCAAGTTGCTCACTTATTCACATCAGGGATTACGAAATATACTCAGAATAGGAAAAGAGACAACGTCAATATAAAATTCCTTCTTCACACAACTGGACAGATTTTAACAATATTTTATACCCATATTTTATCTCATAGATGTGAATCTACACAGTTATGTAAGGAAGTAGTTTAGTCAAACATTCAGAAAAGGTCCTTAAGTCTCTTAAAGAACTTTGCCCCACTTTAATGCCTGCAAATGTTGGAACATAACTAAAAAGATAATAACACATTAAGTCTTCCTTCAGTTGATTTCTGCTATTCAAGTAAGTGTTAATAGTCACAATAATTTTTACAAGTGTCTCACAGGTGGCATATTTTTCCTTATATGATTAAAACTTGTACCATCAGCATTTATTGTACCTCAATAACCAACCCATGAGGATCCTCAGCTAAAGAAGATGATCATATGCTTTTGTTGAATTAAGTCAAATAATATTAATGAGGTCATTCTTCTAGAAATTTGAATTTTAGAAAGTATGAACAGAGTGATTTCAACAGTCTCATTTTTCCCTGTAAGAAAGAAAATAAGAACAGCTGGGTTTTTAGGAGTCTTTCCATAACATTAGTTTTAGCAACCAATGCCAACGACCTTCGCCATGAATTCAACACGGTGGTCAAATGAGACAACACATTCAGAACAGTAATGCACATCTCCATTTTTACTAACTAAATACTTCATAGTTGAACTGAAGTTGTACAGTGCAACAGTAATGTTCAACGTCTCTTCCTCTTTGAGAGAAAAGTATTTTATTAGGAAAACGCTTTAATTAAAAATACATGTTTGCTTCAAAAGCTAGACATTTTGACTATGGAATGAGCTGTAATTTTCTCATGGTGCTAAACCACAGAAGGAAGCAGTTAGCACTGATATTTGGAATGTCACCTAACAGCGATAAAACAAATCAGAAACATTTGGACGAAATTGGTGGGAAAACATATGGCTCAGTTCTGTAACTAGATATTAACATTCAACCTTTAGGGAAATGCAAGGAGATAACTGCCACCACATCCTCACTGTGAGCAAGGGACTGCAGAATCAGCATGTTTTTATATAAGCAGTGTATAAAATGTTTATTCTGAGCACAAAACATCAAGGTCAGTCCAGAATTCTGTAGTCATTGGAACAGGTCCCATAACTTCAGAGGCCTGCAAATCGTGGTCTTATTGAATATAAGATAGCTAATCTTCATTACTTAATGCTTTCACTGAATGTAGATCCACTCTTTCTAAATGATCTAGTATGCTCTGGCACGTCCCAGTCATCCAAATCTCCAATATACTTCAATGGGGGTGCTGGAGTAGCACACACAACTCCTCCTCACACATCACTCACCTGTAAGATAACGTGAAATGCAATCACATTTTGAAAAAGTATTTCTTTATTTTGCAGGGCTTCAGCTGAAAATATACCTAAATTGTCCATTCCTCCCACACAGCTACTGAGCTAGTATTAGTTAAACCCACATCCTTTATTTCCCAACAGTCTAGACCTACTTGTAGCCCCTACAAACGGTGACAGAAATTCCAGTTCCAGTGAAACCAAGCAGATGTTTAGTCATTGTCACTAACAGTGACACTAACTTCAGGTGCCTACAGTGTATGGATTGGCACTAGCTA